GTTGACGATTGACTTCCATTATGAACGAATAACATCATGCAATAAAAATTAAACCTGTAAAATTATAATTTACGTACGTATATTACTGGTGTTATAACATCTTGTAAGTCCGCGCGGGTAAGTACCACCACCCTGTGCCTATTTCTGCCGTGAAGCAGTAATAATAATAATATATAATAATAATATAATAAAATAATAATATAATAAAGTTGTACTGTATTTTGACCTTCCGTTGCTGGTGACTTCAATGTAGGTACTATGACGTCATCGTTTTAAAGTAAAAACGGGAGAAAGTGAAGTCGAATTACAAACAACGAATCGTTGGCGTAAGGGCGCTTTAATAATATCATCACCTCATTCTTGGTACACGCGTGGAAATAAATTGAGCGCGCATTAGTCATTGTTAAGAAAAGACTAGTGGTTTACTTATAATCAAGAAATTCAAATTCAAATTCAAAATCATTTATTTCAACTTAGATGTCAGTATGACACACTTGTTGAATGTCAAAATATAGATAACAATGTTAACTCTACCACCGGTTCCAAAAAAGCCACAGTCCTGAGAAGACCCGCGAAACAAACTCAGCGGGCTTTTTTTTGTTTTTTTCTTCTTTTTTTTAAATAAATAAAAATATTTACAATAAAGGAAAAACAAGTCAAAAAATACAATTAAAAAATAATAATAATAATGAAAAATGAAGTTGAAGAATAAAATGAGACGGTTCGCTTTTTGCACTTTATATATTCAGGATCCTGTGCTATGCTGGTTTAATTTGCTCTGTATACTTACTTAATATCTGTTGCTCTTAGGGCAACTTTGAACCTTTTTTTTCTTTTCCTTCCTATGCTGATAGCCTTGAGAGGCTATTTCAGCTTCGCCCTAACGTGTGTAGGTGCGCTCACGGGGCTCAAACCGGAGTGTTGCTAACACTGACCCTAGCAAGAGCCGTGCTTCGCAGAATCTACCACCGGATCGGAAACGCGACCTACTGAGAAGATCCGGCGAGAAACTCAGTGGGCTGTGTCTGTGGGTTAATTCGCTCGTCGAGCCCTTCGTCGCAAGCGACGGGTTCGACGAGGACGGTGACCGGTGCTTGTGGTGCCTAAAAACGCCGTTAATGGATCGGGAGGATCCGTAATGACGTCCTTTGGGCGACGTCGACTGTTTACCATTCGGTCTACAGGATCGGGTATGCGAACCTTCTAATAAACTCATTGTGAGCGAAAACATTTCATTGCCATAAGATACTACTGGTCAAATGATTACAGGAATCGATGCGGACGTAGTGATAAGCACGATCTCTGCTTCCGTAACGAATGGCTAAGAGCCAATCTGGCAAAATGGAAATGACAAACATCCTTCCATGAAAACAACATTCTTGTAATTTCTATAAAATTGACGCCACCGTCGATCATTTAAAATTTCCTGTATTTTTTTATTTTAATAACAATGCATTCGAAGTGATACTCCGTAGCGAGGAGACGACAGGTTTATGCGTCCGCGTTATACGAACATGCAAATGCTGTGAGAAAGATCGCTTTGTGATCAACGTGAGAAAAATTAAATAGGTAAAAAAATGCCATATCAATGTCATATCACATAAAAAGAAATAATACAATATTTTAAAAATTAAATAGAAAAGATTCATTACTAACTTCACTCGAGATTTGTTTAGTTCTCGTTTTGATATACGCGCAGAGCTATTTTTTTAGATTCAGACAAACTTACGACCCAACTAATGTCAAATGGTCAGCAGCGGTTAACGATTGTAAAGTATAAGCAATGCTAGCATACGCCCTACATAATAATACATAACAATACATACTTATATACATTGTCTAAGCTATATTATGAAATGAAGGAAATGATTTTTTTTTTCTCCTACCTTAGCTGATAGCCTTGAGAGGCTATATCAGCGCAACCTTAATTAGTAGGTGAGCTCACGGGGCTCAAACCTGATGACGTTGATAACACGAACCCTAGCAAGGGCCGTGCTTCGCAGAATCTACCACCGGATCGGAAACGCGACCCACTGAGAAGATCCGGCGAGAAACTCAGTGGGCTGTGTCTGAGGGTGAAGAAATGAAATCGATTTCTTTACTATTGTAATCAATCAGGATAACATTAAATAGAATTTAACTACGTGATAAGATGAAATAATATCCCAGTAATAAAGCTCTATCAGGGCATTTGTTAAGACATCAGTGAACTCCTAGTGCCTTTTAGTATTTAATTTTCGCACACTTATGAATTTTCTTAGCTGCTAAACGCAGGTAATAAGCCACGATTAATACAAGCTTGAATTGAAAAATCACTAATAAAGCAAAATAAAACAATTCCAAATCTTGGCTCCTTGCGTTCCCGCCAAAAAGTCTAATTGTGTCTTTACTTTTGTAAATAGTAACTGAATGCTCGGTTCGTTCTTTTGTCGTCTATTTCATGTACTTAGGTGAACGGTCGTTCGTTGTTTGTCGTCTGGTTTGTGTATGCCTTTTAAAGGCTTATTACACTTGGCTGAATTTAGTCGACTGAATTCAGTCGCTACTGATTTCAGTGAAGTGTATTAAGTAACTTAGTCTACTGAATTCAGTAGCAAGGATGGTTTCTGACTGACTAAATCATTTAGAAGCCCAATTAGAAACGCATTTAGGAAGGTGTAATCGCATTTAGTTACTTAATGGTTTCAGTCTCCGTGCGTTAGGACGATTTAGTTTGTTTTTTGCTTCCGAATAAAAAGTATTAATTTCGGTCGCCTTTATTTAATGTGCCAGACATTTATTAATAGCCCGATATGTTTCAGGGATAGTTTTTGTTATCAGGGGTTGGGATATTGAAGAAATATTTTTTTACGATTAATAAGAATTTCCTGTTGCAAGAAATCTTAATGTTACAAGCAATCTTTCTTTTCAAACGAGATCGAATCCATTTTTAGATCATTTCTGAAGTCTGCTGGTTCTAAATCACTCATAATGTTCATATTTGCTAACATTCCGCACAGCAATAAATATTTCTTGTTTTTTTTTTGAGAAATTGAAACAAAGAACAAAAAAAAAAAAAAAATTTGTTGTTGTCTAGACAATACTGGGGCCATCCTATTACGCACACGACACGTCTTACTTCGTCGCGTTTAAACTGACAATTGATTCAGTAACTGAATTTAGAACAGTGTAATCAGCTTCTAAATTTGCTTCTGAATTCAGTCGACTAAATTCAGCCAAATGTAATAAGCCTTATAGAAGGAGATATTATGACCTGGTAACTGAGACCTTTAAGTCATGTCTTATTTTAATTTATATTATTCATATTTTTATGAAAAGTGATATTATGGAGTGAAATGAAATGAAGATGATTAATTTGAAACACTAATCAACTGGGATGAAATTAAATGAAATGAAATGGGATGAAGTATAATCTCATGAAAATGGTGGTCATTTACTAAGATTTTTTCAGTGGACTTTTTGGAGGATCCCGAGAAGTTACGTCCAGCGGCTTTGTTTCATTTTCCCACATTTGTGCACTTTCACAGATATTGAACAGTTAATAAACCACCATTATTACACATTTAAACCCGAAGAAACACTAAATAGACAAAATAAAACAAATCACACAACTTCACTCCTCGCGTTCCCGCCAAAAAGTCCCCTGTGAAAGAGATTGCACGCCACGACAGTACCGAAACTACAGTACAGTGAGTACAGTAACAGTCTAGTCTATGAAACACATAGGTACAAACTTGTCTATGCCCTTCGTATTGCTGACATCCTTTAACGACGATGATCACTCACCAAGCAATAAAGTATTAGTTATTAGAAAACGCAGAAATAATCCTATGCATCTACCTAGTGTATTAAATAAAAAAATGTCGTATCTGTATTGAATTTCTCAATCATTGCCAAAGCTGCTAAGTCGACAGCTTCCATCAATTGTCACGCTGTCAGATTGACATTGACAATTCATCGGCTGTTCCTGATATGATGATTGGATTGAGTTGAGAGACAAAGAAAGACAAAATTTTGTTAAAAACCTGTATCTATAGTCGGATTTTTTATTAGACGAAGTAAACTGACGTTTACTGTGTTGTCAGGTTTTCATGAAATAAAAATAGTGTTGTGACAAAGTGAACGATTGAAAAAACTCCTGAATTAATGAAATTGCCTCGATTGTCTAATGAATAGTAGGTGTGCCGAATTGCCGATATCGGGTACGGGGTTCGTATTTTAGGCGTGCTTTGTACATACCAACGAGTTTTCGACGAAATATTATGTTCCTATAGTATCTACCTGTACTGAATACCGAGTGTTTTAAACATTATGAAAAACATTGCGAGGAAGCTTGTAAAACTGTCCTATTTCCAATACATCATATAGTTGAAATTATAGATGTATAAAATAGAACAATTATAGGTATGTAATGAAAATAAAAATACTGATTGTAGTTACATACTACTAGTAACATATATTGGAGCACTTTAATACAATTTTATTGTAAAATATAAATAATATTCTTTTATAGTTTAAAATTAATGATTAATTCTTCACACTCATTGTTCATTCATGTGATTGAACGAGAACTAAACGCATCACTATTACTTTAAATATAGCAACATTATTTCACAAAGTGACATTAGCTACTGTCAGCTGGCTTCGTCTAATTAAAAATCCGACTATAGGNATTCACTTTTTTCGATGTAATTGCGCACCGACAGTAAACAATAAAAATTAAATATATACCTATATATTATAATTCAAAAAACAAACTGAAAATAAATTACTCTTACTAAAATACTACAAAATTATAATAAATATTCAGAGTACATTAACATAAATTAATAATTCTATTAATAATTACAAAATTTTAACTGCATTTGAAGGAAAAGGTATGGATTCTATCTCCTATTGCTTTAAATATGATTAAGTTACATATATGTGTTACATATACATACACGTTGTTACATATACGTTGATATTAAATGTAAAATTAATTTGTATTGTCTATTAAATAGCACAATGTCAGAACGAGAACCAATTAATGGTTCAGGGCGAGACTATGGAGCCACAGCCTCGGTGCCGGCTGTGGGCTTTGCAGATTTCAGTCCAACAGAACTCTACAATTTGAGTGAGGGCATCGCAGAGAATGTCAATACGATTAACAGTGGACTACTGTCGCTTGAGAAGATGATGAAGCAAATTGGTGGCCCAAATGATAGCGTCCAACTTAGAGATAAAATGTAAGTAATAGGATTAAAATAAAATAAGCAGGAAAACACACATAAATGTATTTTTGTTAATTTTGTCAAATAATTTGCCTTTCACATATTTAAAATAAGTTGTAAAACTCTAGTCACTGTTGTCACGTCTTCTTATATTACTTTTTCTACTAATTGTCATGGTGTATCTGTATTAATTTGGTTTAGGTTCAGTATTGTAATTAATGTAGGAAAATTTATATCAACTCTGTTTATATTGAGAAAACATATATCATGCATTGAGTAATCATCATCTTAACTGGCGGTAGGACTTCTTATGAGTCTGCACGGGTAGGTACCACCACCCGGCCTATTTCTGCCGTGAAGCAGTAATGCATTTCAGTTTGAAGGCCGGGGCAGCCGTTATAACTATACTGAGACGTTCAAGGTGGCTGGCGCATTTACATTGTAGATGTCTATGGGCTCCAGTAACCACTTAACACCAGGTGGACTGTGAGCAAGTCCAACCTACTAAGTAATAAAAAATATATTTTGGAATTCGACTAAGAGCTATGTTTGTAAGTAAAGTAAGGATATTATGCCTACAGACAGCTAATGAGATAACCTGAGTTACCTGCTAAAAAATTCATACATTATTAGCATCTCTGATTACCTGATTATAACATTGCACAGTTTTATATGTTTGCGAACAAATGAAAAAGATCTTAATATGTACCACAAAAAAACCCTTGGCTTTAAATTTAACATCACTGAGTGAATGTAGTACGCTTGCAGATATTGTCCATTCGGATTGACAATAATCCCATTCTCATGGATCGTTTCGAACCTCTGGGTCTGCAGAGGGACTTCGCTCTGTATTTTCTACTGTATGTTCACACAGGGAGTGCTCTTAGGAATTGTTTGAGATGATTCCATCATCTCGTTTTTACTACCGCCCGCCACCAGAGTAGAGCTCATCCGTACTACCTGGAGCCACTGTGTTCATCCACGTTGTGTTTCCAGAGAACTTTTTTGCCAAGTACCATCTGACTTTGAAGTGAGCTCTTGGTGAGATTGGGAGATTGGTGGTAAAGTTATATTGTGAACCTATACAATTTGAGTACATGTGTTTTTCAATAAAACTGTAACTGTTACAAATCAAATAAAGCTTTACCAGATGTTTGTAGTGGCTGTTTGTAGTTGTGATTATATCTATAAGCTACACCCGACAATGTGATTTTAGGTTGACTATTAAATATTTCAAAAAAAAACAGTATGATCATGTTTCAGTTATGCTGTGACCATATCTAGAAGCTACACCCAACAATGCAATTTTAGGTTGATTATCAGCTGTAACTATTTCCGAAAAAGGCTTTTTATTTTTATTTTTTTATTGCTAAGATGAGTGGACGAGCTCACAGCCCACCTGGTGTTAAGTGGTTATTGGAGCCCATAGACATCTACAACGTAAATGCGCCACCCACCTTGAGATATAAGTTCTAAGGTTTCAAGTATAGTTACAACGGCTGCCCCACTCTTCAAACCGAAACGCAGAAATAGGCAGGGCAACGGTACCTACCCGCGCGGACTCTCACGCTTGTTTAATCATGTCTCAATTAAGCTGTCTCTTGACTTATTGCATCCAACTTATGCCCCCTAGTAACATGAAATATATAAATAGATTTGAGGAAATAATAACAAATATTAATTCACAGTCACGATACTCAACAGACGGTAAACAGTTCAGTATCGGCCACGGCGCGAGACATACAGCGACTGGGCGTTGTCGTTCGTCGTGGTGACAAACCGCAGAAGTTACAGGTCGAAAGATTGACGCAGGCCTTCACGGATTGTCTCGCTAAATATTCGTCGGTTCAAAAGGTAATATATATATATCTATATTTTTTTTATTTATTGCTTATGTGGGTGGACGGTTGTTACTGGAACCCATAGACATCCACAACGTAAATACGCCACCCAGCTTGAGATATAAGTTCTAAGGTCTCAGTATAGTTACAACGGCTGCCCCACTCTTCAAACCGAAACGCATTACTGCTTCACGGCAGAAATATAGAAATCAGAAATATAATATTGTTTGAGGGCGATTTTTTTTTATTTTTTATTGCCCCTGTAGGCAGACCAGCATACGGCCCACAGGATGGTGAGTGGTTACCGTCGCCCATGGACTTCAGCAATGCCAGGGGCAGAGTCAAGCCGCTGTCAACCTAATTTCTTGTCATAGATTATCTCTATCACATAACAGAAAGAAAAAAAAAATTTGGTGAAAATTCCAGAAAGTATCAGAGAAGATGGCGGCTCACATGCCCAAACCGGCACGCGTGAGAAACGATCCACAACTGTTGGAGCAGCAAGCGATGGCTGACGACGAGGAATCGGCTGCTTTAGCTCAGCAACAAGCTCAGGTATACTTTTTGAACTTCCTATTCGAAAACCTTCACGTCTATATATATATTAAAAAAACGCACATACATCTTCTATACTAATATTATAAAGAGGAAAGATTTGTTTGTGTTAAGGGTACCAGATTACGGAAATAAATGTAAGATTTTTTATTATACACATATATATATTTAATATTTAATATACATCCATAAGCCTATAAAATACATTTTATTTTTATCATACAAATATCTTCCCTTGGCGGGATTCGAACCTGCGACCCCCTTGTGTAGTCATCATGTCACATACCAGACGGCCGTTATACATGCTTCCTTATTATTGGTGTTGCGAATGAAATAGACAAAATTAAACTTAGGAGACATCTTTATTGCTTCAAGACAGCTATAACCATCGGTAACTTCCAATGTTGGCTCATCATTCTTTCAGCTCGACTTCATCCAAAGGATATTCTGTTTATGCTCTAGCTTTAAAAACAGAAATTCAGATCAACACCGATTCTCTCAAGTGGTAATTTATTGGTGGCAGGACCTCTTGTGAGTCCGCGCGGGTAGGTACCACTGCCCTCCCTATTTCTGTCGTGAAGCAATAATGCGTTTCGGTTTGAAGGGTGGGGCAGCCGTTATAACTGAGACCTTAGAACTCATATCTCGAGGTAGATGACACATTTGCATTGTAGATGTCTATGGGATCCAGTAACCACTTAACACCAGGTGGACTGTGAGCTCGTTCACCCATTTATGCATTTATTTATTTATTTTTAATTGGATTTTTCAAACTCAATTAACTTCTTACAGGCCCGTCTCGTTGAGTTTGAAACGAGCATGCTGCTTGAGCGAGAAGCCTACATGAACAAAATAGAAGCTGACGTTTTGGACGTTAACCAAATAATGTCTGATCTGGCGAAGATGGTGAATCAGCAAGCCCAAACCGTCGGTAAGTGAGACCGTAGGGTGCTGCGTGCGCTTCGAATGACACGTTATTGAGTGAATCATTGACATTTGACCTTGAAATTTCAATTTTAGCCATTTAAATAATAAATAGCTAATGACAAATACCTACGGTCGTCCGACCCCAAATTAGGATTCCCTGAGGGTTCCTAAGGTTCTGATTCCTTGAGGACCAGAGGGTACCAGGGTATCAGGGTACCAGAGAACGGACATAGAAACGTACATACGTTTAAATATATACATATATAGATAAGAAATACTTAGACGAAGAGAAAACAAACCTGTCCATCACCCAAGTGTTAGCCCTATGTGGGAATCGAACCCACGACCCTCGGCCCAACAGTTAGGGCCGCTAACTACCGCATCATCGAGTCCGTTATTTTAAAGTCTGTTTTTAATAAACAAAAGAAAATTAGTACAAATAAAAAACTTTATATTGTATTCCAAATATAATAAAACTGAAATTAAAAAAATATTTTTGTCGGAAGACATTTGTCGCTCCTAAATACTATAATCCATAGTTAAAAATGGTATACTCTATATTAGAAATAATTAGATTGATTGAATTGCGGCCAACTTCTGAGAACTCCAGATTTCACTTATACTAATCAGTATATTTACTGGTAGGTATTTTAATTGGATTATCATCACAATCTTACTAGCCGTCGTTTTATTGTATGTAATATGAAAGCTCATTGAAATTGTATGCATGTTGAGATGGATGCGTGCAGTGACAATAATGGACAAGATAAATAATGAGTATATCAGAGGAAGTCTGAAAGTAGCCTCGGTAATTAGCAAAATTAAAGAGCGGACGGTTAGCGTGGTATGGACATGTGATGCGTAGTGAGAAGATGCATGTGATTAGGAGATGTTGAAAATGGTAGTGCAAGGTAGGCAGCGGCTTGCCTCTGCCCCTGGCATTGCTGAAGTCCATGGGCGACGGTAACCACTCACCATCAGGTGATCGTTTGCCTACAAGGGCAAAAAAAAGGGTAGGAGAAAGGGGGAAGAGGTCGACCGAAGAAGGCACGGATGGAGTGTGGAACGACGATATGAGAGAGAGAGGAGTGAGTGTTGAGCTAACGGCTGATAGAAGAAAATGGAAGAGAAAAATTACCTTTTTTTTATTGTTTAGATGTGTGGACGAACTCACAGCCCACCTGGTGTGAAATGGTTACTGGAGCCCATAGAAATCTACAACGTAAATGCGCCACACACTTTGAGATATAAGTTCTAAGGTCTCAGTATAGTTACAACGGCTGCCCCACCCTTCAAACCGAAACGCATTGCATGCTTCACGGCAGAAATAGGCGGGGCGGTGGTACCTACCCGTGCGGACTCACAAGAGGTCCTACCACCAGTAAAACAAGGTATGTACCCACCAGTAAGGTGGAGAAAAAGAAGATGAAAGTTCATTGAAATTACGTTTCAGACACGGTGGAGACCCACATAGAGGCGGTGGGAGCGAACGTCGAGGCCGGGGTCGATGAACTCGCTAAAGCAGCCGAACACCAACGCAGGTACCGGAGGAAAATGTTCATATTAATTATCATAGGCGCGATTCTTGCTATTGTCTTCATTGTGTGGGTAGTCAAAGCCTTCAAGTAGATCTTATATAATATATTCGTATTGAACTGTAATGACATGTTGAAACTATCAGCTGTTTTCTATATCCTAGCTATCTATGTTTTTAGGTTCGTTATGTATTGTACAGTGGCTAATGTCGGATCACCCGGCATTGTCAGTGTCATTAGATTATTTTCCTTGTACAGCTACACTCTCGTATACTTTGAGGCACTAACAAGAATTGATAGGGTATCTAAACAAATTTTGTAACACTATAGAATGTATGGGATATATAAAATGGCTTCGAATCTATCTTAGTTAAAACAATATTAGCTATTATATGTCATGATTGTTGTAATAAAAAATTTATGACAGCCGCTACGAGTTTTAACTAAAATAGGTTTTAATGTAATGAACGATCTTTAGATACCATCGTGATAAATATTTATAATTATTATTATAACTGACAAGCTGCTTTAAACTTGAAATATACAAAAATCAAACGCTTTTTTCCACCCAAAAACGATAGCGTTAAGATTTCATTTTTGTTTCGACATTATGTATTTTGAAACTGGTAACACTTGTATAATATTGCCACTCTTAAATTTAATTGGTCAAATCAATATTAGCATAGTTAACTTATGATAAATAAATAAAGTATATTTTATCTTTTATTTATGTCTTATCTGATCTATATATGATCTATATATATTATCTGAATATTAAATTGTTATTAATCTGTTTTTATATTTGACGAAAACAAGTCGTTTTCAATTCAACCTCTAAATGATTCTGTCAATTTTAACATCTGACTAAAACTTTTCTGACAAGAGTATTTTTAAGGTTTCAAAGTTGATTTTGCATGGTTTATTAATGAAAATAAAGCTTTTAAAATAAAATTAAATATTAAAATAATATGGTTTGAAATGATTTGATAATTGTGATAGCTAGATATGTGCTCATAAAATACTACATAAATTGTAGATTTACAAGTTCATTTAAACATGTACTAAAACAACATTATTTATACAAATCGATGAAAATGTACCATTTTTATTGAATAAGACACATTCCAGGTTGAATAAATTAAACAATATTGATAGAAAAAATGTTAAATTCGGTCTGTAAGTTTTTCAATAATATAATACAAAACTGCTAATTAAAAGTATATTTACATAGTAGCTATATGTTTAATTGTAGTATACAGTGCGATAAGGATCTTAATAATAAAGCTTTTAAATTGCCTATCGCAAAAAATTACCTGTGTGCCTTTAATATGAAATAAAATTGATTAAACATAGTAAATAGTATAGTTAATAGTAAATGTAGTACAGCTTCTTCGGTAAATATTAGTTTTTATGTACTTGTAACACTGATGACTTAATAATACCGTTCAATAAATGTCACGCTGACATAGATCCTTGTCGCACGAAACGTCAAGTTAATAAGAGACATGTCACACTTCAACGATAGTACCTAAGTTAATTATCTACATAATAATAATTAACCGAGTATGTATAGTGATTATTTTTTGTTGAATTTGTATTTAAAAAAAATATATTAAAGACATGTTCGCATGTTAGAAATATATGTTGTTTTATTACAATGGTCACATGAGTTCGTGGCCTACCATACCCGATCCTGCGGACCGAACGGTAAACAGTCACAGTAGCCCAAAACACGTCACTTCGGATCCTCCCGATCCACTCTCGATGCTTTTAGACTCTTCAAACGACGGCCACAGTCCTCGTCGATCTCATAATCGATGAGCGAATTAACCCATAGATACAACCCACTGAGTTTCTCGCCCGATCTTCTCAGTGGGTCGCGATTCCGATCCAGATTCTGCGAAGCACTGCTCTTGCTAGGGCCAGTATTAGGAGCACTTCCGGTTTGAGCCCCGAGGGCTCACCTACATGTTAAGATAAAACCGAAAAAGCCTCTCAAGACTATCAGAATAGCTAGGACAAAAAAACCCAGGGTATCCTAGTTTGGGGTCATATGTATGTGTTACTTGACTCCGATTTTTATTTAGTCACAATAGGATTCACTATACCATATATTAATCCTTTACGCTCAAACGGCGCCGATATACTGTAGTGCCCGACTGATTTTAAATTTTAAATCGAGATGTTTTTGTCATAAAAATAAATAAACTGTTTGAATTTTATATAATTTTTTGTTAAAATACATACCTGTAAATGTTAACCTAATTTGGCCGAAATCGTCTCGATCGATCGTTCGCGCAAACGAAATATGCGTCAAGTGCAAAGGGTTTAAAGTTCTTGCTTCGAAATTAGTATAGCAAAGTAATTCGTAACACGTAACCATTAGGGAACTTTTTTTTTTATTGCTTATATGGGTGGACGAGCTCATAGTCCACCTGGTGTTAAGTGGTTACCGGAGCCCATAGACATCTACATCGTAAATGCGCCACCCACCTTGAGATATAAGTTCTAAGATCTTAGTATAGTTACAACGGCTGCCCCGCCCTTCAAACCGAAACGCATTACTGCTTCACGGCAGAAATAGGCAGGGCGGTGGTACCTACCCGTGTGGACTCACAAGAGGTCCTACCACCAGTAATTACGCAAATTATAATTAACAATTTTGCAAATTATAATTTTCGTATGTCTTCTGTGTGTATTAAAAAAGCTGTCCACACGTGCAAGGTTGTGGTACGCGACCGGTACCTGATCTAGGAATTAAGGAGCTGGATATCAAAATATAAGAAAGGCCACAAAATATTAAAGACAATAGATAACAATCCCGTTTAAAATTTTCTGACAGCGAAGATAAAGAAATCTCGATTTTTTTATTACTTCGATTGGTGGACGAGCTCACAGCCCACCTGGTGTTAAGTGGTTACTGGAGCCCATAGATATCTACAACGCAAATGCCACCACCCATCTTGAGAGATGAGTTCTAAGGTCTCAGTATAGTTACAACGGCTGCTCCACCCTTCAAACCGAAACGAATTACTGCTTCACGGCAGAAAGAGGCGGGGTGGTGATACCTACCTAGGTCCTACAACCATTAAAAATAGCCCAGTAATTCGAAACACGTAACCATTAGGGAACATGCGAATAAAACAAATGTGTCAAATTAAAAAGAATTCCGATGCAGTTTTAATGCAATCAAAAAGCACTGATATGCAATAATTGTAAAATACATTAATAAATATAACACAAATTTACGTTCAGATGTGGATTTGGTTCATTCAAATGCAATGTTATTAGAATGACTCGAAACCAGCGAGATGTGAATTCGATATTTCATTTTAGTTTAATATTAAAAAGAAACAATTTAAATTAGGGTAACCCATACGTTTATTGGCGACCAACGTCTTTATAATCGTCATGGTAACAATGAGGACAAATAACATAATCAATATCACGTGAAGACATAATAAAATGTCACAAAATTTAGATTGAGCTGAGGTTTATTGAGATTAATATATTTTTGTTTGCAGTCGGTTAAAACTAAAACAACAGGGAACTAATATCTAGTACAACCTATGATTACATTCTATTACTTTAACAAATATTGTACAGTTTACCCTATTTGTTAAATTAACCTTTTAATCGTTCTGAAATTTTTCGATATTTTCTTAGATTTAATTTTCTTGTAACATTGCAATACAATTATTGACATTGAGTTTTTTTACACAACCAACTGATTTCGAGTCATTTAGTTTGGTTTTAAATAAAACAATAATAATAAACGTTACAATTATTAAACTAATATGATATTCGTGTATTCACAGAACATTTTATTACAGAATTATTTTTTATTTATTTATTATATAAAAACATTTTAAAGGTACATTTGTTTATAAGTAATTTGATGTGACGACAATTTCATAAAATCTCTATATTTGTACAACTCACAATCTGTTTTCAAGGCGAACTTTAGAGCACACACTTTCTTGTACATAATCATTAACACATATTAAATTCTTCGAGGTAACCTTCCTACATCATTTACTTCGATTTATGCTTAGGAATATTAAACTTAGATACACGTTTACTTAGGAACATAATATGGTGAAATCGGTGATGCGTAACGACACATAAAATATATTTATATTGTTTAGGACTAAAGGAGACCACAGTAAGGCAGTACCGTAATTTAAGAAACGCAATTTTATTACTAAAATCAGTTCTTACGTCACATCAAAATACTCTAATTTTACAACAAAGTAACGCCGCCATTTTGTTTCTTCCGACTTAACAAAATGGCTGACGTGTACAGTCGGGAAAAATGATAACTTTTATTTTAGAATGAGTTCGTTTTCACATCAGTCAACACTATCTTCAAGTGTTATTTTCGTTAACAATTACTTAGTAAATATAAGTGAGCATTTAAAACAAAATTGCTAAATAAGGCTTGATCGAAAATTGTATTCGTAATGTGAATGCAAAATTTTCAACCATCAACATATTAATCGGTGTGCTAATTCAATAACAATTTAAAGGAACCATCAAGATTACAAGAAGTAGTCTATGAAACCACATTTTCATCTAGGACATATATATAACAATAATTGTTTACGGTAACAATGAACACTCTTAAAATAAATTATAGTGGTAGCAACGCTTGCTTCTTGCAAAAATGACGAACCATCAGAATAACGATTAATAACAACTTATTTATTCCACACAATTATATTATAACAAATTTATATGAGGGAATCCGTACCAGACTAAATTATTCGACATTTTGTAAAAGTAATGTTTAGAAAACATATTGTATGTACTATGTGCATAAACATAAGTTAAATTAATTAAAGTACATACTACCGTTTAAATAGACTCCTATAGTAGCCGCATGCTTAGGGACGACTGTTGATAACAAAACAAGAAACACTCATGTACCTTTTCAACAGGCATTTTCTTTTATAGTTTAATGATAATATGGTCAATTTTATGATTTTTCAATAATACATTAAAGCTGTAATAATACAAATTTAATAGTCTTATGAAGAACATGAAAAGTATAAAAATCGGAAACCTTTCGTTATGCTCATCCTAGCATGCCTGAACTTAAATGAAAAAAATTAAGTTAATGTTTTTCTTGGCTCTTTACCGGATAAAACGTCCCTATCAATATATTACCAATAAGTTCCGTCATCAAGCCGAACTGCGCTGCGAGCCACTACAGAGTCTCAGAGAGGCGGCAGACCCGTAACGAAATTTATCAATTTTCTTCCCGACTGTACCGAAACGTTACAGCTAGTACTACCGTATCTTCGCTTGCCTCTGTTGCCAGAGCACGTACTTAGCGCAGGCCGTGTCTATTATTTGGTTCAAATGTTTCGTTAGAGTCGTCGCCAGCGGCGTCAGGTCACGGAGCATCTTCTCCTGAAGCATAAAAACGAAACGAACGGGCTTGAAACATTGTACAGTCGAAGAGAAAAGTATTTTGTTAAGTGTTTACCAAGGCGCATAGAGATCGAAAACTTATATATCGCCAACGCGATGGGTTGAAAGTCGTCGTGGCCTAAAGGATATAACGTCCGGTGCATTCGTATATAACGATGCGTCGGTGTTCGAATCCCGCAGGCGGGTACCAATTTTTCTGATTAAATACATACTTAACTAATGTTCTCGCTTGACTTCCACGGTGAAGGAAACAACATCGTGTAATAAAAATCAAAACCCGCAAAATTATAATTTGCGCAATTACTGGTGGTAGGACCTCTTGTGAGTCCGCACGGATAGGTACCACCACCCTGCCTATTTCTGCCGTGAAGCAGTAATGCGTTTCGGTTTGAAGGGCGGGGCAGCCGTTGTAACTATACTGAGACCTTAGAACTCATATCTCAAGTTGGGTAGCGCATTTACGTTGTAGATGTCCATGGACTACAATAACCACTAAACACCAGGTGGGCTGTGAGCTCGGCACCCATCAAATCAAATCAAATCAAATAAAAAAAAAGTATTCAACATAAATGAAAGTACATACTTGTTGAACGTCAAAAAGAACTACCGCCAATTCACCAAAACTAGCCTCCGTCCTGAGAAGAACTGGCAAGAAACTCAGCGGGCATGTCTTTTTTTTTTAAATATTAGATTTTTTCTTTTTTAATATTCTATTTTTTTTTAAATATTCATTTTTACAATGAGTATTATAACGTAACAATTATTACAATATTGAAATGCCCATAGCGAGCAACTCATTCCCACTTTGTGCTTTATTGCACAGACGTTCTTTAATAGTTTTCTTAAACCTATGTATATGTAGGTTCTGAACATCTTGTGGGATTTTGTTGTGTACAGACGCACTACGCAATCTTAGCAATAATTAAAAAAAAAAAAACTTATTGCTACTTCGCGGCAGATTTGGTAATGTATGATAAAGCGTTAATCGCTTATCGCCACGAGTGTACGTGTTCGAACCGCGCTCACCTCGAATGGCCTAAGTTTCAAATTCCTAAACCGCAACAGCGCGTCGTAGAACATGGTCGCCCGCGGCGCCGCGTCCTGCTCGTTGGCTGGCGGCGCGCCCGGCTGCGGGAAGCTGCGCCAAAGCTCCCTCGCCAGCTCGCCGCACGACGCGTACAGCCTCTGAAGTTCCGCCTTCACATCCGCCGGTATTAGTTCTGAAGAGAAATTATATTATTAGATATAATTTATTATTGATTTCTCCACTACTTAATGAATGTTATTATACATATAAACCTTCCTCTTCAATCGCTCTACCTATTAAAAAAACTGCATCAAAATCCGTAGTTTTAAAGATTTAAGCATACATAGGAACATAGGGACAGTGAAAGCGACTTTGTTTTATACTATGTAGTGATAGTGACTAGCGGACCCGACATACGTTGTCCTGTGAATGCACACACAAAAATCAATTCAAGTCGATTCCAGCCGTTTAGTTGCAGTATAAATAAGTAGCCTTGTGAATCTAAGCCACCCAGGGCGCCAACCAAACGCATACAAGAAAATTCGAAAAGATTTTTTTTTATACGTAATACCGCCACCTCCTTTGAGATATGAGTTGTAAGGTCTCAGTATAGTTATAAAGGTTCTAGACAGCAGAGCGTGGACTCACGTGCCATGGAGGCGGCGTGGTGGTGCCGCATGAGCGCGCCGCCCGGACTGAGCTCCCCCAGCGCGCCCACAGCCGCGCCCGCGCTCACCCGCGCCGGCCGCTGGCACTGTTGGCCGCTCGACCACGCCTGACCACAAACATGGTATCATGAGCTGACACTCCACTGAGGCCCATTGACATATTGTTACGCGCTTGTTCGGGATAAATAAAATTCTACCGAATTACAAGTTAACACTGTATTCAACACTTAAAACACTCAACAAACACTTTAAAACTCTCAATTCGTTTCTGCCGCTTCGCTTCAGGTGATCCTTTCGCTGTTTCGCTTCGAGTAGTTCCGATTACTGACTGACTGCGTGCCATCCCTGCATCGCTTTTATAGCCAATACCACATCCCTAGAATTATCGAGAGTATTCCACACATCTCTAGTATTGTGTTTCCGCTATCTGACAATAGATGGTGTTGTACTTCTCGAGCATTCTAGGCATTACTAGATCCTTCGATATTCGTTCGAATATTCGGCGATAGATGGCGTTACCATTGCCGGCGTAACAATATCATTCGACCCACAAAACTAGAACAGTTTATTATTGTATCACCGTGTCAATATGGACAACCAAGGTACCCACCCTTTCTTTTTTTTTTCATACCTAAGCTTGCTTTGAGAGGATATGTCAGCGTAATCGGGCAAGTAGGTGAGCTCTCCGGTCTCAAACCGGGAGTGTTGCTAACACTGGCTCCAACAAGAGTCGTGCTTCGTGGTATCTAGTATTTCACACAACCTAGTAATTTTACCAGTAATTTTCGGGTAATATATAGATTGTATCTTCATTCTAGAAATCTTTCATTAATATGTTAAATCCATAGCTAGATAGATATCTTAGGATATGTTCTTTGATTAAACAAAGCACCATTGATTCAGAATTGATTGTCTAGGTCATTTACTTACTTGACTTAGTTGGTTCTTATGTGTTATTTGGTGGTACATCTTTTTATAATAACAATAATTTTAAAATGTATTAAAAATTTTGTTATTTGATTTAAGTAGTAGTCATGGACTGTTTTAAAATATAACTTAACCACACTGAGAACAATCAAGAAGCAAAGATCAAAGAATAATAAAGAAACTCAGAGTAACAAATTATCATGCAGATTAGAAAATTTAAAAATATTCAAAATTTCATGTTTAATTCAGTATATTAAGACTAATTGAACTAGAAAAAAACAGCTGGTTTTACAGACCACAAATTTTAATTCGAACCATTACAATTGAGCAGCAAATGAACAACAATCAAGGGTTTTGAAGAAAAGATTTGAAAGCCCTAAGATATCGGTGGGGATCCTTTTTTTTATTACATAGTTTTTATTTATTTAATAATTAAAATTAATTCACAGTTTGAATAATATTAAAGGTTTACCTGACATACGGACGCCAAGGCCGACAGCGGCGGCGGGTGGCTCGTCTGAACACTCGTCTGACTTATCTGATACGACGGTCCTAATAAATATCTTTCTACCTGCAAACGAAATTATATATGTTTTATCTTTCAAATAAACTTCATTCCTTTTTTTCACAAGTTCCAATTTATTTACAAAATATTTATCTCACAATAAAATGCCTCACAATAATCTCCTCGATTACAAGAACAAGAAGTTATAATCAGCAAACAACAATGTAGAGAGCACTTCGAGCATTCACTTACTCAAAGAATACCAGAAGTAACAAATGATCCATAGGTATATGTATGGCATTACACTATCTATTCTTCTTTTTCTTCACCTTATCCCACTAGGTGGGGTCGACACAGCTAATTTTTCTCTTCCATTCTCTTCTATCAGCCGTCATCTCAACACTCACTCCTCTCTCTCTCATATCGTCATTCACACACTCCATCCATGTCTTCTTCGGTCGACCTCTTCCCCCTCTACCTTGCACTACCACTTCCATACATCTCCTAGTCACATGCATCTGCTCTCTACGCATCACATGTCCATACCACGTTAACCATCCGCTCCTTAATTTCTTGCTTACCGGGGCCACTTTCACACTTCCTCTGATATACTCATTCTTTATCTTGTCCATTCTTGTCACCCCACAAATCCATCTCAACATTCGCATCTCTGCCGCATGCACTCCTCTTTCATGCTTTACTTTTACAACTTACATTACACTATCTATATTACACTATCTATTGATGCCATGAATTTCTATGCAGATATGGGATGGTTGATGGCACCAGTTTCTCTCAAGACATGGTCCATGAAAAGCAAAACTTGTGTCTAAAGTAAATTGCTTTTAATCAAATCCATCCCATCAAAGACTGCAGTTAACGTGGTTCATTACCAAAGGATTATTAGTCATAATGCTACAAGTAAATGCAGTAGTTCTTTTTTTTATTGCTTATATTGTTGAACGAGCTGACTGTCCATTTAATGATAAGGGCTTACCGAAGCCCATAGACATCAACAGCAAATGCCGCCATTCACTTTGAGACACGAATTCCAAGTCTCAGTTTTACAGTACAACTACAGCACGACAGAAATAGGCAGGGTGGTGGTACCTATCGAACCTATCAACATATAAATTAACAGATTTTTGTCAACAACACTTTATCTCATACCCTATTCCTGTGCTTTCTTAGCCAAGTTTACCTTAGACAATTTTAATTCCTGTACATCATCATTTCCCTGGTCTGCAACTAGATCCTCGTAGTGTATCTGCTCTAATATTCGTTTTTTCTTTTCTATCGGTTCTGTACTGTGTTCGGCCGGTCTCTTTGAGACACCATTTGTATCTTTGACACCGTTTTCGATAACTTTATTGTTGTTATTCGATGTTTTACTACTACTGCTATTACTATTATTACTAGAATTTGATTTTTGACTAGCTTTGAGCACCTGTAACATTGAAATGGATATTTTAACTCATCTGTGAATGAAGTGATTGATATTATCGTATGCACATAACAGATATACGTAAACTTATATCAAATGCTATTCAAAATACTCTCAAGCAAATCTTACCATAATAGAGTGTTGGTTGAAACGTTTAATCATATTTCTGTGTATAGAATTATTATCAGATCGATCCTTCTCATTGCTAGCTTCTTCTTCAGTCGGTAACAGTGGAACGTGCTCTATGAACTTATTCAAATCAACCTGTAATACACTTTGAATATTTCAATTCAATCAAGGTTTAACGTTTTAACTTCTTAACATAGAAAAATTCTATGAAGTTCATATTTTCTTTGAACGCTTTGCAAATACAAGTACAGACAGTTAAATCAAAATCGAGCTAAAAAGAGACTGAAAAGATACATAAACGCAACCAATTACAATTCAGTCGGTAGGCAGCGGCTTGGCTCGGTAGGCAGCGGCTTGGCTCGGTAGGCAGCGGCTTGGCTCTGCCCCTGGCATTGCTGAAGTCCATGGGCGACGGTAACCACTCACCATCAGGTGGGCCGTATGCACGTCTGCCTACAAGGGCAATAAAAAAAAAAAGAAAAAACTCCCTCTCCAGATCTCGCACATTTAGTAGTTTTGAAAACGATGTAATAAATTTTTCGACTTTTCTGTATTCAAAAGTTTAAGACACGGCACACATAATACAGATTTATACATTCTTTACTATAACCACATGGAAGTACAATATCCTGGGACATGATGAATGGATCGCTTTCTTCTTACAACTGTTGATTATTTTGGTTCCTTAAACACGTATCGAAACTAAGGGGCGAAGTTACCCCCAGTTAGTAATAGTGGGAATCACTTGTTGAATTTGTTTGATTTCAGTTCAATCAACATCTCAACCTGGTTTTCATGAATATTTGAAGATAAAAACATTAAACCGAAATTATTAGAATTATATAATTTTTTATACTAACCGTAAGATCTAGTGTTGTGTGTCTCATTGCTGAAGCAATAGCGTGGTCATCTAATTTAGCACATTCTCCAAATAAATCCTTGCTCGATGACGAAGCTATTCGATCTCTGAAACGCAACACTGAACTTTTGTAGAATCTTGTACTGAAATCTGTTGACTGAATTTAGATTCTAATTTACCCACTTTTGGATATATGCAGAATTTTTATTGTGCCTTCTAGCAATTTTACACTGGGTTTTCTTAATTAATTATTGGTTTTATTACTCAAATAAATAAATAGATGCTCAACATGTAACAGCCATAAGAAAAATATTTTCTTGCGTATTATGGATGCATGAAACACCATGCTGACTTCAATTAGGACCCAGCTCAGTAATTAGTTTGTCATGGTTACTAAGCCCTCAACCAAGACGCTACAAAAAAATAGTAGTAATGAGTTATCAACTCACCTGTGAAAATAATGTGATTGAAAGAATTTCGTCCAGAATTCAGCTTCCGTCATTTTATTGGGTACATAATCAATATGTTTCTTTCTGACTGCTGGATATGTTTTGAATATAGCATCTATGATATCTTGAGTTAGATTGTATTTCAAGCCATTGCAACCGTCTGTCTGTGGTTGAATATCAGCAAGGAATGCACCTGACACACCTTATGACAAACAAAAAAGTTTTAGAATATAATTGGAAATTTAGTTTTATTAAGTCTGATTTTGTTAACATTTTCTAAAACACACTAGTAGTTTATTAATGCATTAGTTTCAGGTCTAAAAAAATTTTTTTTTGTTAAGTTTGTAAGACCTTAATGATAATGCCACAATAAATATTTAAAACTATATTATTTCTCAACATAATACTTTTCTTAGGATATTTACCTATCTTTAAAAATGATAATGATAATAATGATGTGCTTGTGTGCAGTTTTCATATATGTCAAATTAAGAATTTTAACAGTTTTAAAAACACAACTTAGAACCAATAACTATATAATTAATAAACTAATAAAAAAAACAGGATACTTTTTGTATATGAAATTTGAAAATTAAAATATTGGCCAAATGACAAAGCATCAATTTGGATGCAGGTGACAACAGACCAGCCGCACTGGACATCAATTGGAGAGGCCTATGTTCTGCATTAGACAGTGGTCATGCTGAGATGAAATAACAAAGCATAAATAAATTTACTCAACACTGGTGGTAGGACCTCTTGTGAGTCCGCGCGGGTAGGTACCACCGCCCTAACTATTTCTGCCGTGAAGCAGTAATGCGTTTCGGTTTGAAGGGTGGGGCAGCCGTTGTATCTATACTGAGATCTTAGAACTTATATCTCAAGGTGGGTGGCGCATTTACGTTGTAGATGTCCATGGGCTTCAGTAACCACTTAACACCAGGTGGACTGTGAAATCGTCCACCCATCTCAGCAATAAAAAAAAAATTATCGTTTTACATGTATTTCAAGTATGAAAATTTATCACAAAATAGAATAGTACTTTAAATAAACTTACCAGCTTCCTGTTTAATGTTACTAGATTCTGTATATTGTTTCAAAGTAGGAGTATTCCAGTATTCCTCGCTATTAATAACTTTAGATATAACTAAATCCTCATACAAATGTTTTAATGTTGGATGCAATGACAACAATCTGTTAATAAAAAATATTATAATATTATTAAGTAAGGATATTTTAAGTTATACTTATTATGATTTAATATATCTAATAATGAAATAGTGCTTATAGTCCCACAATTAAAATATAATTATATTCAATCTCACTCTCAGTTAATCATTCTCTTTGTTAAAAATTCACAGTAAAACATTACTTTTATTTTATTTCATTATTTTGACTTTAAATAAGTAATGATACTTGTTTTTACAAGCAAGATATTTAAGTAGCAGGTTTTTAAATTGTTAATACCATACTGGTACATATAAGACCCTCACAAGTTGTCTTAATTAGGTACTAGTTAAGTTAAATCTTATATTTATTTAATAAGCATTTTACTGATTAGGTAACAAATATAATTTACTTTTTACTATGACGATTTAATTAATTAGTAAATTAATAATAAATTTGACTCACTTAGATTTCATTTCTAGTTCACCATCAATCTGTCTTTTGAACTTTGGTAAGAGGTTTTGTAGTAATACCATCACTTGATCTCTGTCTTTGGCCTGAGCCTCTGGGCCACCCGGGTTAACAAAGTGAAATGTAGAACATGTGCCATCATGTAAAACCACTTGAAGCTGTATTTTAGCCTTGCCAGCTGGTGAAATTTTTTGTGCTAAAATTGTAAAAAAATTATGTTATTTTTAATTGATGAAAAGTTAATTATTATGTTTACTCTAACTTTATTTCTACTAACTGTGAACTAAAAATGTATTGTACTAATTTTAATTCAAAATCATTTAGTTCTAGTTGGGTAGCATTACACATACTTATTTAAAACAAGGTTTATTATGGTACCCTACTTGTACGACTAAGTAACAAAAGTTAAGGCAGTAATGATTACTTTCTGGTATTAAGATACTTTGACCTAATGATGGTTATGACGATATCTCAATGTACTTAATTTTAAAAGGTTTGTGTCTGCAAGTATTTACCAACATAAGCAATAAGCATAAGATGCACAGGTGCTTCATTTTGAAGTTGTAATAATTGAACATTTTGCCTTAAAAATACTTACTTTTGATATCAGCATATTTATGAGATACTGCGACTGTGTCTCTGTGTTCCAACATCCATGCTAATCTTTGATTCATTACATACAGTGTCCCGTCTCCCTTCTTATAGCGTACGCAATTCACGCTGAGCAAAACATCTTCGGATGATGTTGTCATGTTTAATTCTTCACAAATTTAAATTTAATTTATATTTGAACCACCAAATTTTCAGAGTTCAAAAACCCTGACTTCCGAACTTGTCCTAACAGGATGAAATTACCTTGACACTTGTCGGTTTTGTTGAATTCAAGGTCTCCTACATTTCTCCTCTAAAGCATGTACTGTCTATCGTAGTATATTGTTTTAATTAAGGTGCGTATCAAGACGAAGAAACATTGAAAATAATTCAACCAAGCATTCTAATACAAATTTTACGACCATTAACATCAGTCTAGATTTGACAAACTGCTGTTCTCTTTTTTTATTTCGATTCAAAGAAAATTTACAGCACTGGTTCAACATCGTTTGGCCACTACAACAGAGACCTCTGTACAGACGTTATGCAGTCAATAGACGTTCATTTAGATCGTGTTGACCACAAGTTTTGCAATCATTAAACGCATGATCGTTTTTAAATCGTTTGAGTCGTCGTGGCCTAAAGGATAAGACGTCCGGTGCATTCGTGTTGAGCGATGTACCGATGTTCGAATCCCACAGGCGTGTACCAATTTTTCTAATGAAATACGTACATAAGAAATTTTCACGATTGACTTCCACGGTGAAGGAATAACATCGTGTAATAAAAATCAAATCCCGCAAAACTATAATTTGCGCAATTACTGATGGTAGGACCCCTTGTGAGTCTACACGGGCAGGTACCACCACCCTGCCTATTTCTGCCGTGAAGCAGTAATGCGTTTTGGTTCGGCGTTCGAAGGGTGTGGCAACTGTTGTAACTATACTTTACTATACTGAGATCTGAGAACTCATATCTCGAGGTGGGTGGTGGCATTTACGTTGTAGATGTTGTCTGAAGGTCACCACCAATCCCCATCAATGTTTCCATAATTAACTATACATTAAACATGCATGTAATCAAAATTATCTTTCAATATCGGTTCCCGACATAGAGTTGGATCGACCCATATCTATCCGTGGGTGTCATAAAAGACAAATTTCGGACTTCTTCTGACTATGTTGGGAATACTATGCTGTCGTTGACATAACAATAGCGTTTCCAGCATCGTAAAACTCATGCCAAATCCCTATACAGCATAATAAAAGGACACACTGCACTGACCTCATATAATGTGGAATAAGGGCAAGAAAAAGAAGAGACATTAGTTTTCTGGAATATCTGTGTTAAAGATCACCCAAGCTTAACCGATTATGAGGATTACGGTAGCTTAATTTTTTTTAAATTATTTATTTGATTTAAACAAAAATAAACTAATTGAAAGGAAATGAATTAAAAAGAAACTATAAATAAAACATCTTTGAATAAAGTCGCAAAGCAAATGCTCCCTGTAATCAATTTTAGTCTATCACTAGTATCATTGAACGCTGCCATAAGAAGACCGCCATTTGTTTATTTTCAAATAGCAACACTCGACATTGACAACCCAAAATGCAATCATGGCGCACGGGGTACTGTGTTTTTAGAATGCTGAGAAGTTTTTACGTAAACACTTCGTTAATTTATATTGCCATCGATTTGTGTGTTTTTATAAATTACCCTTGACTTTATATAATCATAGTTAAGCATACATGTATGTACAAAACTTGAGAATTTCAGCAGTTCAGAACCACGTCTCTGTACTACTGGACACTTGCAGGTATAAAAATCACGAGTTTCCTTGTTTTACCACTTTGACGGCTTGTAATATGATTCTCTGTGATCGAAAATGCTTGTACAGCATTTCTTCGCTTCGACGCCATTTGAATTATGCTGATTTATGTTTATAATACCGATATAAACATTTGTTCCAGATAACGTTGTTGGTGTCATAATGTCAGAGGCGTACGCCCGCGAGATACTACGGAGGAATGTTGCGCAAATATGCCAAACTATAGGATGGAACGGCATAAACTCTACGCCACTTGACATTTTGGTACATGTACTGGAGAAATATATCAAAACCCTTGGCATCCAAGCCAGTAGGCATGCTGAACAATTTAATAGGACTGAACCAAATTTACATGACTTAGGATTAGTATTCCGTGACCTTAATGTGAATTTGCCGGAGCTTGCTGAATATGTGCGTTGTGTGCCTCCTGTACCACCTCCAGTAAACTCTGTTAAATTCCCAAAACCGAAAGAATCTAACTTAAACTTCTTAAAACCTGGAAGTCATGAAGTTGTCACAAGGCCCATGCACGTGCATGAGCATCTGCCTCCTATGTATCCAGAGAAAGAGAGAGACACACCGGCTGTTGCAGGCACTATTGAAATACATCAAAATGGTATTGATAATGTCACTAGCAATAATACCATATGTACAAGTCCAGAAATATCTGTCACAGACAGTCCTGAGAAACCAAAGGAAATTTTTAAGAGACCAATTGATCCTGTTTCTTTACCTAATAGTAAAAGGCCACGGTTACGCTTAGAGGAAGAGGAGAGGACGAGAGAAATAAGTAGTGTGATGATGACCATGTCTGGTTTTCTGTCACCAGCCCGTGAAGGTAAACTTCCCGAAGCCCGTCCTCCTACAATTATAGCAGAAAAGCACTTTGAAAAGCACAAAGTTAATTCTCATACAAATGTAACTAAACCTCCAATTTTAGAAAAAGTTGATAAGAAATCTAAGAAAAATAAATTACCTAATGGTAAAATTATGAAGAGTAAAAGAAAAGATAAACATAAGAGTGAAAGTGGTAAAAATAAGGACAGTAATAAATTAAATAAATTTCCTCCTGGTTATCCTGTAAAAAGTAAGGATGTGCAGCCCAGACACCATAATCATATAACTATGCCAGCGCCTGAAACTGCCCCTCCACCTCCTCCTTCAAGAGCAAAGATGGCACCTCCTCCTGCACTGGTGCCCATTCCAGAGCCAGTAAAACCTGTCATAAAACAGGAACCATTGGATCCTCCGTCACCAATATCCAGAAGGCTTTCTGTTGAAGATGCAATACCGGTCCCTAGAAAAATTCCAATCTCATTATCTCCTCTAGTATCTAATTCCATCACCACACCTAAACAGCAGTCTATGAGTAATTCTCTCATTCCTCACACTGAAATAAAGAGAGAAGTTTTAGATGAAGATGAGAAATTGGCCTCTCAACCTGATAAATCAAAGATTAATATATTTAAGAGAATAACGAACAAATCAAAAGAAGATAAGACTACTCCAGAGGTTGTAAATGATAAAGTAAATCTTGATGCTACTATTTCAAGGTTGCAAAATGCATCACATCAAAATTCAGTTCATAAGTCAAATGAAAATGCAAGAATGAAATCTGAAGTGATAGACCAAATTGTGAACAATAATGACGATAGTGCTGTAGATTTGTCTAAAGTGATGGATTTAAGAAGTAATGAAGTGATTAATATTGATGAGGATTCTTTGGACAGAAACCCTATACCACAGCAAAGACAACTACTGGAATCTAAACCTAATATATCAATCAACAAGTCCTTACAAACTCCTTTTCCCAAAGATCTACCGAGTGTTAGTCCTAAAGTTAAAAAAGAGAAAAAACACAAAGACAAGAAAGATAAAGCAGCAAAATTAGAAGCTAAATTGTTGAAGAAGCAACAACAACAGCTAGCCTATGAAATGGCACAAGCTGAAAAGCAAAGTATGAAATTGGCTGGCATGAAACAACATAAAATCAGCAGACAGAAAAATGAATCAAAATTGCCACAAATGCCAGCTGGTTTTCCATTTTTTCATACAATGCCACCTGGAAGAGGTCTTATGCCCGGCCCTGGTCTCATCCCGAACCCTGGATTGATACCAGGAAGTGAATTCTTCACTGGTCTAGCAAACAATCCAGCACTAAGAGGTATGCCACCCTGTAATTTATTAAACAATCCATTTGCTTTGGGAACCAGTGGTCCTGGTCTCATTCCTGGTCCTAGTTTCTTACCTGGAGGCTTGAATTCTCCTCTGATGCCTATGGGAAATTTTGCCCAATCATCGAGATCTTCTTCCGTTAAAATACCACCAATGCTCCGTCGACCGAGTTTGGAGGTAATAGCAGTAGAAAATGATGAGGACAGAGGTATTCATAAGTCTTCAATGAATCGTGAAAAGGACCGCCACGATAAGCACAAATCTCAGACCATTCCAAATATATTACAGAAACACAAGTCTAAGTCGCATAAGGATCACAAGGCTAATTTGTTCAAAATGCCTCTTGTACAACCAGACATAACAATTGAACTGAATCCTCCGAAATCAGAAGGTATTAGACATCATGAGCCACCCCGGGATGCACTCAATCAAGCTCGTGTGTCTGCTCCAGCCAGGCCTGTAGGACCTACGCCACCAATACCTCCACGTGTGCCTATCTCCAAGCCCGATCCTGAATCTGAACCGGTAAGGGAAATGCCTCCCGTCAGGATGGCTACACCGGATTCTATTCTAGAAAAAGACACCGAAAACACAGATAAAAAGAAGGATAAATCCCATAAAAAAGAAAAGAAAGACAAAGATGGTGTAAAAATTAAAAAGAAGAAAGATAAAAAGGACAAAAACAAAGATAAGTCTGAGAAAAAGCGCGATAAAGAAGAAAAACAAGAATTAAAAGATAAAATAAAAAAAGAAAAGAAAGAGAAGAAAAAAGATAAAATTGGCGATGGTCTTGTTCCGAAATTGACGTTGAAAATAAGTTCTTCAAATTCTAATTCACCTATGCCACCAAGCTCGCCCGATACTTTCAAATTAAATATAAAACCAGTAGTGAAGAAAGAAGAAGAGGACAGTCCAGTAAAAGACGAACCTTTGTCCAGGGAGCACAGTCGTTCGCCTGAGTTAGCTCAGATTTCGGCTCTCGTTACTAGACCACCCAAACAAAAACATTCTAAACACAATCACCTCGCAGACGGAGAGCCTCTGCCCTCGCCGCCCCCCTCGGGCAGCTCACCGCCCGAGAAGGGCACGCCCTCGAGTCATTCGAAATACAAAAGGATATTGTTCAAGCCGTTGGCGAAGAAGGGCCACGAGCACTTTGAAGACGAAATCGCAACGTTGTCTGAGGAACCGACCGTGGCGCCGGCACCCGCCCCCGCCCCGCCCCCCGACACTAAGCTCGAACCCCTCCCTACCCCTTATTATGTTGATGAACAGGGCAACAAAATATGGGTTTGTCCGGCGTGCGGCAGACCGGACAACGGTTCGCCGATGATCGGCTGCGACGGATGCGATGGCTGGTACCACTGGGTGTGCGTGGGCATCACGGAGGAGCCGGGCGCCACGGAGGACTGGTTCTGCAAGTCGTGTATTGCGAAGCGCGCCGCGATGGCGCTCGCCGGCGTCACTTCCGGCAAGAAAAGAGGCCGGAAACCCAAAGGGGAAAAAATCAGAGACTGTCATTAATACGGACCTTATGTTGTTACTGAGATTAGTTTTAATATCCTTTCGATAGGCAAGAGTGAATGGATGAGAGTTGTTAATGGATTAATTGTTGAATAATATCACGAAGAAAAATGTTTTCATCATTTATAATGTTATATCATAGGCTCGATTAAGTATAGATAATAATTGAATATTGACATAAAATGTTGAACATAAAATATAGTGTAGTTACTTGTAATAATTTTACCAATAATTCTAAATATTTTGTTACGATTTCTCGTTTATTTTCTTTCGCTCGGTTAGATCAAGATTAACTTACGCGAGCGCGTTATACACATCTCGCGTGTAGGTATGTATACATAGATGATAATATAAGATTCTTTTTATATTGTACAAAAACTGAATTTACTTAAGAAATTGGTGATGTATAAAGTAATGTAGTGAATATTTAATAAACAGAAGAAGGCTGGATGCATTTTCAGCTGATATTTGAATATTTTCATATTATGATTTTAATATAACCCTGTTTATTTCTGTTGTTTTACTTTCGTTTTGTACAAGGCAAGGACGATCGTGTGATTTTGGCGCCAAAACAAATTCGTTATCCAGTGCGGTTACTTCACACGGCTTGCTTACTTGCGACATCTGGCTGAAGGGAGGGGGGCCAATGTATTTGTTTTATTTCAGCCATGGCCAATTAAATGTATTGGTTCTCGAAATGCAGTACATTATTTAAACCCATGATCACGGTTTTGTGTACGGTAAGACGTTCGGGGTATGCGAACGCTAAAATTGCAAATGAGAATTCCGAACTTCTGTGTGATTATTATAACGAGGCCTGATGTGATCTTTGCTGTGTGGTCTTGTAATTTAATTTATTAAACAATCTAAACCCTTTTATTCTTTCGTCCACAATTCACCTACCATATTGTCAAAGATATGTATGAAATATAAAATTTGAGTCAACTTTTTTGAAGTTTACTTTTTCTAAATTATTTATGTATTTTAACGAGTTTGATGAAGCTGAGTCAAAATATTTATCGACTGGGCAATTTGTAACCTTAAATTTACTTGTAGGCTCATTCAATGTGTGAAGAAGAGATTCATATTTTGTAGTGGAATTTGTATTTGTCTTTTACGTGTTGAAATGTTGAAATTATAGGATAACTTTCAGTTCTTGCAAGGTTTCTAACTTAATATCATCAACGAACAGTGACGCTCAAGTTGCTTCAACACATTTGGTCATTTTATATATTTGCGGCAGTCGCTTAGAGGCTTGACCAGTGTGCTTGGTGCGAGTTTTTTTTAACTTCTCGATCGGGTAAAAGTTAACTCAAATTTGCACGAAGTTAGAACAGCGTCCCTAGCGGCAAACGTAGGGACAAAAAAGAAGTTAAGAAACTCGTACTAAGTATACTGATCCAACCGTGACAAAATTTTATCTAAAACATTCGATACATATTGAAATTATATTATGCTCTTGATTCTTTGTATGTAAACTTTTAACAGTTATGAAAAAGTACAAAAACACGCTATTTATTTAATTGTAACATGTTCTATTAACGTTTTGTGAGTCAATCCGCGGAATCATCTATTTCGTTATCGACCCTACTTTTCGCATTTCTACCTCCATACGTAATAGCCTGTGATCACCTCAGTGTGCTTAGTGCGAGTTTTTTAACGTTCTCGATAGCGTAAAAGTTAGCTCATATTTGTATGGAACGGGAACGGTTGCGTACGTTACACGTCATTACGGATCCTCCTGATCAATTAACGGTGATTTTAGGCACCACAAGCACCGGTCACCGTCCTCGTCGAACCCGTCGCTTGGGACGAAGGCCTCGACGAGCGAATTAACCCATAGACACAGCCCACTGAGTTTCTCGCCGGATCTTCTCAGTGGGTCGCGTTTCCGATCCGGTGGTAGATTCTGCGAAGCACTGCTTTTGCTAGGGTCAGTGTTAGCACCTATCCGGCTTGAACCCTGTGAGCTCATCTACAAACGTTAGGGTGAAGCTGAAATAGCCTCTCAAGGCTATCTGCATAGGTAGGGGAAAAAAATTGCGTACGTTTGCCGATAGGGGGCGCTGTTCCAGCTGCAAACAAAATTGACTTGACTTTTACGCTATCGAGAACTTTAAGACACACTAAAGGCTTCGTCAAACAGAACGCGTACTTAGCGCGCGTCAGAGCGCTAAACTTACGCCGCGCTATGACGCGCTAATTACGCGTTCTGTTTGACGAAGGCTTAAGTGTGAGTATCTTAAACAGCAGCAGCACACTGATAACGTCTGTAACTCGTGGACGAGTTCACAGGGCTCAGCCTGAAATACTGCAAGACAACGTGACTTAATCTGTTCCGCAAGTCGATCCCATAGGTTTGTGAACTATTTTTACGATCGTTAACATTAGTACATTGCAACATTGTCTAAGACTTCCGGGACCCGGTAGTTTCTCGTATTATCAACATGTACATTTCTGATACCACCGTCCTGTGCTTTTCGTTTTATTTTATTTTTACAGCTCTGTAGATGCGAATGCTCACGGCTCTTTTAGTGTTGAGGATAGCGTAGTGCATACACATCACATAAGTACCACTGTTTATAGGACTGGCAACACAGATAAAAATGAAATGTAAAAGATGGACGCTGAAGAAAATTATAATGAGTGATTTAAGTATTCAATTATAGTTTTATTATAATCAAAACAATGACTGAAACATCCAACACAAACAACCAACCACTCGAAAATGATCTCCGCTCACTCACTTAGAACAGCACGTCTAATACCAAAACAGTTTTTTTTTTTAAATACTATATTCAAATAGTTAAATTACAAATATTATGTATTAATTTTCACGAACGCATTGTTTCTCTAGAAATCTTCGGGACTAGCAACTAGATGGCGCTGCAGTCGAATTTGGCTCATAAAACAATGTTGGTAGTGAATTGCAACATTATGATGTGAAATTAAATCAAATTTCCAACTTAACTAATCGCTTTAATACAATGTTTTACTGGTAGGGCGTATTGTAAGCCCATTAAGACAGTTACCACTTTAATGCCTACATTTGTCACGAAGCAACCAAGCGCTCCGTTTTGAAAGATGAGACAGATAAAATACAGCTTTTTTTTCTTAACTATGCTGAGAGAATCGAATCGAATTCGCAGAATCTACCACCAGATCGGAAACGCGACCCACTGAGCAGATGCGGCGAGAAACTCTGTGGACTGTGTCTATGGACTAATTTACTCGTCGAGCCCTTCGTCGCAAGCGACGGTTTCGGCGAGGACGGTGACTGGTGCTTGAGGTACCTAAAAGCACCGTTAACGGATCGGGAAGATCCGTAATAACGTGATTAGGGTGACGTCGACTGTTTACCATTCGGTCCATTGGATCGGGTAGGTATGTAATTTCCGGCGGCCACATGAAGGTTTCCGTGTCGCGCCGCCTTCTCAAAGTGGCGGACTGGTGCCGACTGAAGATACCTAGCTCCAGATCATCATGGAGATTCACGTTCCTCGTGAACCACGGTGCTCCGACGGCTATCCTGCAAAAACTGGATTGAATGACTTGAAGGGGTTTCAAATTAGTGCGGGCCGCTTGAGCGAACCCTACACTTGCATAGGTCATGACAGAGCGTCCGCAAGTTTTGTAAAGTGTCACCTTATTACGAAGGGACAATTTACTTCGTTTGCAAATCATCGAATAGAAATTTCACAAGCAATACTCCGTCATTTAAGTAGTAATTAAATTAAGTAGATACGTTGCGTTTCACTTATAAAATACGTATCAGTCATTAATGGTATTTTAATTAACAATCATATTTTGGTCATGTTGCACGTAGGGATACCAGCAATTTGGAACGCCTTGGAGTGACCGGTAAAATAGAGGGAAAAAGGCCTAGGGGTAGAGGTCCCAAACGATGGTCGGACCAAATAGCGGAGGAACTGGAGATACCTATCAGCGACGCACTCCACCGGGCTGCAGGGCGGGATCGATGGAGACAGTTGGTTGACGAAATCGGACGGAGTCACGATCCTCAGCAGTGAGGAACCGATCGAAGAGAGAGAGAATTAACAATCAGCTGGAACATATTATGGTACGACGTTACAAATCGGTATTTAGTTTTTTAGTAAATGTTTAATAAAGTTTCATATTCTGATGCTATCGATACGTAAATCGTATGAGCCTTTTTTATTGCATTGATGCGTAGTTGAGAACACGGCCCATCTGGTGTTAAGTGATTACATTACTAAAGCCCGATTGCATCACATTGTGAATGCCGCCAGCCATTTTGAGATATGAGCTCATATTGCCGTAGAAATAGGCAAGCCCCTACTTACCCGTGCGGGCTTAAAATACGCCTAAAATACCAATAATTGTCTAGAAAAATTTATTAAATGTATTTATTGTGTTATGCTTGGATTATTGCCTTAATTTTTTTTTTGGAAATTACCATTTAATTTTTATTAATTTAATAAAAAGTAAGAACTGACAAGAACTTTCAATGGTTTATTTAACGGCCGAATAAAACATGTGACAATTTTGTAATAAACAATAAAATACTTCGAGTTTAGCTTTTGTAAAATGTGAAATAATCACGTACCTGATACAATAATTGTATTTAATTAATAAATGACAATGTCTTGAGATTATTGCCACGAAAAATTAACACCACAAAACTTGTACAACCTTTAACTTCATAAATAATTTCCCTTCTAAATCTAGTTATTGCACAATTTCAATTAACAAACATAAATAAATTGCTATCTGCATGACGGAGTATCGCTTCAGAAAGGCTTGAGCTAGGTATCTGATGAATTTATTCTTCATTATGTAGGTACAAAATTGAAAAACCCACAAAAAAATATTCTTAATCTTAGTGCGAGAGGGATTTCACCAGTTTTTTCATATGACAAAATATTCACTTTTTTCATGGACACGACATATTGTCCAGATACGGATATCCCTGGGCGGTTAAGTGAGTGTGGGAGTTGAACCCTGTCCACTTCATAAAGATAGCAACAGACAGGATGAGGAAGGCGCAGTACTGTCTAAGCATGTTTTTCATTGCTTAGATGGGTGGACGACTTCACGGCAGACCTGGTGTTAAGTGGTCATTGGAGCCCATAGACATCTACAACGTAAATGCCGCCACCCACCTTGAGATATGAAGTCGTCGTGGCCTAAAGGATAAGACGTACTCAACAACTGTTCATGGTTGACTTCCACGGTGAAGGAATAACATCGTGTGAGTCCGCACGGGTAGGTACCACCACCCCGCCAATTTCTGCCGTGAAGCAGTAATGCGTTTCGGTTTGAAGGGTGGGGCAGCCGTTATAACTATGCTGAGACCTTAGAACTTATATCTCAAGATGGGTGGCGCATTTACGTTGTAGATGTCTATGGGCTCCAGTAACCACTTCACCAGGCGAGCTGTGAGCTCGTCCACCCACATAAGCAATTAAAAAAAACTGTATTTATAAAAATTGGACCAATTTTATTGGGTAGTCGACTATGGAATGCCATTGATCGGCTTTCGCATGCAATGGGTTTGGTTTTCATAGATGGGATGATGCTCAGAAACCTGTACCTACGCTGAGAAGGTGAGCATCAATAATAAAACTAGTATATATTTATACCGGAATATTTATTTTACAAAAAAGACGTCCAGGTAACAGGCATCTATTAACACACAGCTGTACACAGAAATGCAAGGCTCAATATTGTGTAACTCCCACAATCAAAGTTCCAGTATTTTGATCTTTCGACTACAACTAAAATATGTTACGAAAACAGTAACACGCAAACAAAAAAGCCTTTAAATCTTAAAGGTAATTTTAAATATAATTCACAATAACTATTACTACCGGGTACTTATTTTTTACTGGCTGTGGGGCTTGATGGGCTGGTTTCCGGCGGTGGTGTTGTGGGCTGTTTCTCCTTATTCCAATCCTTGAGGCCTTCTGGTAGCGTCGTGTCTTCATCTAATGATCCTGTGCCTTCAACGAACTCTTCATAAGTACTCTTCTCGGGGAACGGTCTAGGCCCTAACAGTTCAATCATATCATCGCGACTCAAAATCTCCTGTTTCAGTAATCTCTCTGCAACCTTTTCGATGTTAGGTTTGTGTTTTGTTAATAAATCCGTTGTGTGTTTGTGCGCATTGTTAATCAGGTCTCTGACTTCTGAATCGATGAGTTCTGCGGTCTTTTCAGAGTATGGTTTGTCAATCACCATTTCACCGGGCTGTGGCATCTCGAAAGACACATTTCCGACTTTAGCGTTCATACCATAGTGTACAATCTGCGCATAAGCGCTTTGTGTTATCTTTTTTAAGTCGTCCTGAGCCCCTGTGGTTATTCTTCCGAAGAATATCTCTTCACTTACTCTACCCCCTAGTGTCATGCACATTCTATCAAATAGTTGTTCCTTGCTGTATAAATACTGTTCTTTGGGTAAATATTGTGCATAGCCAAGACCTTTTCCTCTAGGTATAATAGACACTTTTAAAAGGGGATCTGCATGTTGTAGGAACCAACCAGCAACTGCATGGCCTGCCTCATGATACGCTACGATCTTCCTCTCGTCTGGTTGGAGAACATTAGATTTTTTCTCCATACCGGCGACGACTCTTTCGATGGCTTGTTCGAAATTTTTCATTGTAATATCGTTGGCTAATTCGCGAGCGGCAATTAGTGCCGCCTCGTTGCACACGTTAGCAATATCCGCGCCGGTGAAACCTGAAATAGTTTTGTCAATTTTGTGATAAATTTACATTTTCTGCAATTAGAAATAAAGAGCTTTTGGTCACGATTTTCTTCGATAGTAAAATTTTATTGTTATTTTATAATTCTGGAGCCGAAGACCAGGCAAAATGTAAAGGTTTAAGTAGGAAAGCGGAATCTGGCACTAGACCGAGAAAACGCTCTGGAGTCATTAGCAACAAGTACTTTTTTACTCATTACTAAATTAGTATGAATAAGAAATGAATTCTATTTTTATTGGAATTTTTGCCATTTTAAATGCCATTACCAACATTAAGGTTTGGGGTGGCTTACGGCCCACCTTGTTTTACCTTGTGGTCACCAAAACCCGTAGATAACTAGTCAGGTCATAAGTATTGTCACACCGTAAAAACTTTTCTTTTAGAATGCTGGCCACAAAAAAGTTTATTGAATTCGAATTCCGAATTGTTCATGAAAATAAAAAGGTATACTTTTAGAATTTTACTCATTTTTAAATATGGAGTGGACGCTTAAAGAAGACCGTGTTGCAGTTATTGCGTTGCATCGTTGCGGTTACGCGCCAATTCAAATTTTTAACATACTGAAAAATTTTAATATAAACAAAAGATTCGTTTATCGTACCATCAAACGATACAATGAAGACTCTAGTGTAGATGACAGGTCAAGAAGTGATCGCCCTCGGTCTGTTAGGACTCCAGCAGTGATAAAAGCTGTGAAGGCGCAAATTCAAAGAAATCCCAAACGTAAGCAGAAACTGTAGGCCCTTCAGATGGGGTTAAGCAGAACCACGGTGAAAAGGGTGTTAAATGAAGACTTAGGGCTTCAGGCATATCGAAAAAAAACAGGACATCGTTTGAATGCTCGTCTAATGGACCTGAGACTGAAGAGATGCCGCGCTTTGTTAAAGCGGTACGCGGGAAAAAAATATCGGGAAATTCTTTTTTCGGATGAAAAATTTTTTACCGTACAAGAGAGCTACAACAAACAAAATGATAAGGTGTACGCACACAGTAGTGAAGAAGCGAGCAACCGTATTCCGCGTGTCCAACGAGGTCATTTTCCATCCTCGCTCATGGTATGGTTGGGAGTTTCTTATTGGGGCTTAACAGAGGTACATTTTTGTGAGAAAGGTGTAAAAACGAATGCAGTTGTGTATCAAAATACAGTCCTGACGAACCTTGTGGAACCTGTTTCTCATACCATGTTCAATAACAGGCACTGGGTATTCCAACAAGATTTGGCGCCAGCTCATAGAGCGAAGAGCACACAAGACTGGCTGGCGGCGCGTGAAATCGACTTTATCCGGCACGAAGACTTTAGTGTCATAAGAATCTATATTTTGTTAAGTTCATTTTGGTATATGAATGGTTACATCATGAATAAACTTGTTTCAACTATTTTACATTAAACATGTGACAGAATTTATGACCTGACTAGGTATTTTGTTGCTTTAGTGTTACCAGCTTGGGTATCTAGGTATTAGCTAGGATTTATCTAATATTTCAATTATTCTTTCTTCCTAGTTGTACACTCTTGACAGTGGTTGTTTTCATGTATCAGTCGAAGCCTGATATAACGATGCTCTCGCGACGCAACATCATGTGGCACGATGTTTCACAGAGTGAGAGCATTCATTTATGTTGGAGTGAGTGATTTAAAATATAACACAACATAATAATGATATTCAAACAAGTTGTCCTTTAAAATTACTACTTTTTACAGCTTTAGAAAACATTGCTTAGAGAGGTAAACAGTTCATGCACCACTTCATCGTAAGAGGTTACCGTAGATATAGATATGTTGATATGGGTTCCTGCACCTGTCTTCTGTGCCACCTTGTGATATAAAGTTTAAGTACAATTGTACAGAATAGTCGCCGTCCCATCCTTCGAACCGGAATGCATTACAATATCACGGCACAAATGGGAAAAGAAATTTGAACAATTCTTTTATGTAGCGTTTTCCTTTACTTTGTTATTCGTAGCATTACATAACTTAACTGATAGGTATGAACAACCTGTCTACTTTGTGAAAATCACATTCCTGTTCTGCTTTGAGAATTGGTTAGCTGTTATGCAGTTGGCATGGAGAATATAAGGCTTCTGAACTGAAATATATTGTGTTAAACTTCAAACTCAATTGTCCTAATCTTAAGCAGAATCTTATATGATGGGATATGATGGGATGCAGATCCATGATAAAATGACAACAATAAAAGCGTTATAAATTGACATGTTTCATATTATTATGCAATATTTCAAATATCTTTAAGTATCTTGATTAAAAATATTGTTTCTAAGCATATAAGTTACATGGTTACTTAGAAATACTGGTACTTTTAGCATGTTGTCTATGTAGTAGGAAATAATGGGTATAACTATACAAACTCAGTGTTTAACCTCTTGTCTAAACATATGCATTGGTAATCACTATCTATAAAGTTTGTTTATGACTTTGTTTGTTTGTTGATAGACTATGCTAATAATAATTACCTGGAGTCAATGCAGCCATTTTTCTTGCTAAATTTTCCTTATTCAGTGTTGTCTTGAGAGGAGTCAAATGCACCTTGAAAATTGAGGCCCTGCCCTTAATGTCTGGTGCTGGGACAAATATCTGTCTATCAAATCTACCAGGTCTCAACAATGCCTTATCTAATATATCTACTCGATTTGTAGCTGCAAGCACCACAACATTTGTTGTTGTATTAAAACCGTCCATTTCAACCAACAGTTGATTCAAAGTGTTTTCTTGTTCTGAATGACCACCAAAACTACGACCTCCTCTTTTTCTACCCACAGCATCAATTTCATCAATAAACAGTATGCATGGAGCATGTTTACGTGCCATAGAAAACATATCTCTTACTCTGGAAGGACCAACACCTACAAACATCTCTAAGAATTCTGAACCAGAGACAGTGATAAATGGTACATTAGCTTCTCCTGCAGTTGCTTTTGCGAGTAAAGTTTTACCAGTACCGGGAGGACCTGTTAATAGTGCACCTTTGGGAATTTTAGCTCCCAAATCTATATATTGCTGAGGGTTTTTAAGAAAGTTGACAAATTCCATAATTTCTATCTTTGCTTCTTCACAACCAGCAACATCTTGGAATTTTACTCCAATGTCTGTTGGATTTATTAATTTAGCTGTTGACTCCATCACTCCTCCAAACAAGCCTCCTCCACGACGGCCACCGCGTCCCATCATGTCTGCAGACCTTCTCATCATGTATATTAAAAATCCAATTATTAGTAGAGTAGGGAGCATTCCCGTCAGACTGGCAGCCTCCACTTCAGTTTTGTAAATTACTGGTACAAAATTAGGAGGATCAATGCTCATTTCAATTTGTGCATTTTCTAGATTACGTTCGAATGAATCGACACTACCTATTGCAAACCAAATAACCTTTCCTTCTAATGCATTCCCTTGAAGTTTTACTCGGACCCATTTTTTGTTGATAACTTCTAGTTTCTCTACTACACCTTTGTTTAAATACAAATTGACAAAATCTCTCCAACTTATCTCTCTGTATCTTAATTCAAAATACGCAACTGAAGCAAGCAATGTCATAATACCAATTGCTCCAAACATCATCCACTTCTCTTTATCTTGGCCTTCATAGCCGCCGCGGCCTCCACTTCCGCCTCCGCTGCTGCTAGAAGGCGAGAACATGTTCATGTTCCATTTATCTGATGATGAAGAGGTCGGTTTCGATGGAGGCGCGGAACTTTTAGATGGAGGACTTGCATTTTTTTCCTGAGTTTTAGCGTCTTTCTGACCGCTACCCGGTTGGAAGTATTTTTCAAAACCCTTAGGCGGCTTTTTACAGAATTCATACCACTGTCTTAAAACGGAATCTAGAGCAGGTACGCCGACAGGCTGCAACTTATGTCCATTAAAATGTATCTTTGATAGTTGTGAGTGTGTCAATCTGAGGCCTTTCCACATGTCGATGATAAATTTATTTTAAAATTTTTAATTTATCTTCAATGTAGTTACACAATTCTTAGTAAAATTTTATCATAAAATAATGTCTAGGAGTATCATGACAACATGTTACATGGTTAGAAAATTCTGTCAAAATTGATTTGAATGAATTTGACATTTCAAAATGTTTAAGAGTTGTCAAATTTCTTAAAACGACAGACGTTGGGTCGCGTTTCCGATCCGGTGTTATATTCTGCGAAGCACTGCTCTTGCTAGGGTCAGTGTTAGCAACTCTCCGGTTGAGCCCCGCGAGCTCACCTACAAACGTTAGGGCGAAGCTGAAATAGCCTCTCAAGGCTATCAGCATAGGTAGGATAAAAAAAAGCCGATATTTTAGGGCAATCGTCCCAAAACAGAAGATTTTGTTAGTCTTAAAATTTAAGAACTACCGTCTACTATCAATGCCTCGAACGAAACACTTGTGTGCAGATTATGTTTTATATGACCATAATAAAACATTTTAAAGGGATGAATAGGTATTTTTAAATTCGAAAATTGCAAAATGCTGGACTTGTTGAGCACCTGCGTGTGAAAATACTTTAGTCACAGGGTGAGACATTCTCAGTTACAAATTTTCAGCTCGCAAACTAAGAACTAGGTAGTTGTTGAGCTAGCTATTCAATAGAATCAAAATTCTAAAATTCATATTGAATCCTATAATTATTATCCTGCATAGACTAAAATGCCTACATCGGGAACGCAGTTGTTAGGTTTCAGAGCATAAATCTTGTATCAAATACAATAAAAGCATAAAACACCATTTATTTGTTGTAAGTTGTTAATACAAGTTCTACAGATAATACCGGTCACTCACATTCGCACGAATACGCAAACCCGCAAGTGTAGGACGACATTTGCAAATGATTAAGCAAAGTTTTCGCTGCATTCGTGGTTTTCCCAGCTGTGTCGGTTTTTCAATGGACATCAAAGCACGCGAACCGCGATTATTCGTGTAGTCTCCCACACATTCGTGTGACCAGTTGCGCCCACGATTGCGAAGGTAACGGACGTTTCGCCATTCTCTCAATTCGTGACGTCTACTGTGTAGCGTACCCATAGAGTTGTAGGTACTTATTAACTCCATGAGCGTACCTTAATCATGGATTGGAACTACACTAAGGTGATGGAGTTCATTGAACTCCTGCAAAATGAATCGACCATATGGGACCCTCAAAAGAAATCCCATAAAAACAGAATGGCTAACGGCCAAGGGACGCCTGGGAAAGAATTAAAACTCCCTTTCTCTTCAATGTTCTATTGGTGAATTAAAAAAGAAGAGAAATTCGTAAACAAGTGTGGGAGGAAGCGCAAACGGGTTCGCAAATTGAGTACCGAACCCATTTTCACAGCCGCTAAGTTTGCGAATGAATGTATGACGGCCCATCACATGCGCGCAAACATTCGTACAATGTACGAATATTTGCGCGCATATGAGAACCGCATTGCATTGGACCACCATTGGATGTTATACGGCTGGGAAATGACTGACACGTACCGAAAATATTTCAACATGTACAATAAACATATTTTTTTTTGGAATATAGGCTGCTTGTTACCTTTCTAGCTTTGGGAGAAGGTTGTTTGCTAATCTCTATATAAGCATCTCCATGAGCAGCTACTTCACGAATGTATTTACCACTAGAAAGGTATCATCATCAGCCATAAAAGGCTGCTGAGAATCTAATAGGTTTATATTAGCACAGCTATTATACACTACAATGGATACTACCACCTCGTGTCTCAAAGTAAAGTAAAAAGTAAATAAGTAAGTAATATCAAATTTAATATAAGGAAATCTTATGAAACAAATCTTTAAAGGCTTTTATGCTAAGTTTGATTTACATTTAAAAACTATTTCAAAACTCATACAAAATGTTTTTTGAATATAAAGCGGGTAATACATAGAAAAATCTTGGTGTTAATGTTATGTTTTACAAAATATAATGTACCTACGAGTTTTTTAATAAAATCTAGAAACGTTATTAATAGTTCATTAGATAAAAAATTAGGTATGTCTTATATTTTAATACCGAAAATAATCTCAAATCAACAGCTATTCACATTTATAGACACAGACATAAAATTAAAGCGTGACAAGTAATATTGGTTTCTGTGAATATTTTATTGTAATTATGATAAAAATGTATAAATAGACATATTGGTGTCGCAGCTGATCGACATCAAAATTTCCGAACGAAATATCAGACATTTTCGTTTGTCAAGTAAATAAACGGGAATCGACGAGAAATCAGAAATTCACGTTTACGTTTTATATGTGTACTCATGTATTACGTAAATATTAATAATATTGACTAATTCGTTGCACTGTGTGTAATTTTGTGGAGCTTTATATTCTATAAGCGTCAGAAAGAGCTCTTATTTGTTTGTGAAGTTTCATCGTGATGGACCAAGAAAGGCCTGAAACCAGTAGAAATGGAAAGAGGACACGACCTTTGCTTTCAGAGCCGAGTGAGAAGATATCTAGGATGTGTTCGTACTTAGACTACGCTTCCCGTGTATCAAAACCTAGTGGTGTATTAAAGAATTCAAAAAAGGTGGCGCCTTGTTCTGCAAAACGGCCTAAGTTACCTTATAATGAAAGTGATGTTCCTCCTGCGGGTACACTTGTTCCTGACAAGCACGTTAGGAAAGCCGGCCCATATTTATTGGGACCTAAATTAGGTCCTAGTCCTGTCAAAAGTATTGTTCAATGCCTAGCTAGGAAGGCAAAGACTGATGAGTTTTACCAGGTAATTGGATTTTTTCTGAATTGATATATTTATATATCTATAACACAGTGAAGCAAGGACAATATCTTTATTATTCATTGTCAGCTGTTTTGTGTCTTCATTACTCATGTATGCTGTGTAATGAATGATAAGATAAAGAAGATGTATAAAAATACAGAGAAATCAACATTAATAAGATAAAACAGATTCACTATTACTCTAATCTAATAATTGAATTGTACAAATTTTTGTACAAAATAGCTTATGACATTACTATAAAATATAAACTTAATATGTTCTCAATGTTATGTGTAAATTAAATTGTTTAAAAATCACGATTAATGCATTGGATACTTTGACTTCATGTCTGGAGATGAGCAATGATAATGATAATGTTATGATGGGCTCCATTTACGGCTTAATACTTAGGCTGCTTTATCTGCACATCATAAATAATATGTTGAATAATAAATTATAGCAAGAACCTGAAAAACATATTCCAGTAAAAAAAAAAGACAACTTATTTATATGAAAAAAAGAACCATTTGCTCATGATTAATAGCACTGGAATGATAAATTGCTTCTACTTAAAAAAAATCTTAATGCATTTATCATTTAGGTAAAAATATTGACATTAAGAAATGACGATCAACCAGAGACACAGGATGATAGACAGGGAAAAATGCTCCTGCATACAGAGTATTCATTATTGTCACTATTGAAAGACCAGGAAGGTGTTATACATCATCATGGCTTATTTAAGGTAATAAATAACATTGCAACATTATTTTTATTACAAATATTATTTTTAAACAACAATCTAAAAATAAAAAGTTGTAGAAAAGTGCATATTCCAAAATGAAATATCTTTCAGCAGACTACAAAAAGATTGCAGATTTCAGCATATACAAAATATTCACACATAAATTTCTTTCATTCTTAACATAATATTCTATTGTTTATACATCTATCATGCAGTCTTCCAGACACTGAGCATAGGCCTGTCCCAAGCTACACCACAATAATTGGTCCTGTGCTATCTGTATCCAGAATTTACATGTACATAACAGATTGATATCATATCAGTAAGCATGTGGCCTACTGTCTTGGTAGAAGATCTGGCAATCTCACACTGATGGAAAGTGGACACTGAATTAATCACATCAGAAAATGCATGCACCTGTGACATGAGGCTAAAGTTTCTTTGTTACCCTAAATGGGCATTTAAGCTCACTGTTCCTCCTGGTCTATACGGGTTACTAGAATCTGTAGACATAAAGAAATGGATACCATTAAAATACATATCTTGAAAATTTATGTTGAAGTCTCAGATTGTATTGTAAAATGAATGTCCCACCATTCGAACCCGTCTCTGAATTTGGTACCTGCTTTGTGAGAGAAATATGCACAATTTATATAAATACAATTGATTTAAAATTAGTAGACCTGGTATACCGTGTGTGTGGCTGTGTACTGATTTTTATTTTATTTCATTACTTAGAATGATGACAATTTCAGGACCACATTTAAAAAATCTATAACCTGCAGAAATTAATGTATTTGACTTAATCTGATTACAGGAATATGCACTAGAAGAAGTTCCAAATCCGAATGGTCCAGGTTTCATATACACCGGAAAAGTCAGACAGAGGCTATTCTTAGTTTTGGACTGCGTAACACCTCACCAGTTCAGTGAGAAAGGTAGCGAACTGATAAACTTACAGCAATATGTTACTAAAGTTAGAAAAGTCCCCGAAAAAGAAGCAGTTCTGATATTCTACGATATTGTTAGAGTTGTTGCCAACCTTCATAAGGTGAGTAAATATTTTTTACTTAGTTTAAAGTTACAGCCAATATTTTAAGTTTTATTTAAATTGTCTAACTGAACTGATCATGTTGATGATGAAGGCCATCCCTGCATAAACCAATACATAGGTCAACACCAACATAAGTGAAGCTAGAGTGCAGGGAAGTCATTTAGTGGGTGGACCCTAAATTCCTTGCTCTCAACACCTGCAGATCGTTGAGTCTCACATACCCCGCGCGCCCCCTAGGCACGGGGACCTCGTAGGAGGTTCGGCCCGCGGCACGAAAAAAAAAAAGAAATTTTTTTTTTTGCATTAAAGTGAAAGACTTTACAAAGAGTTCGTCATATAGATCGCTAACACAAATAAATAATTAAGGTGTAAGGTATATAAGTTATATGTATAATTAAGGTAATTAAGTAATTTTTGATTACTGCAATAAAAAAATAAAAATAAATAAACGACAACGGTTTTAATTTGCAAATGGCATTAAAGTAATCATTATTAGACAAATAATATAAATTATAATACATATGTTTGTTTTTCAGAGAAACATTGTCCACCGAGATTTAAAACTCGGCAACATAGTGTTAAATCAAAGGACTGGACGGATAATAATAACAAACTTCTGTTTAGGAACTCATCTCGGTAGTGACAGAGATCTGTTGAAAGATCAGAGAGGTATGTTCCTTGAAATTATTGACGATTGTTGTTAGTATTTACTTAGCTGAATTATTGTAATAAATACTAGAAATTTAAATACTATATTATACTATTTAAATTTAAATTCAATACTGTATTAACTACTCAATGTTTAAATATCTGTAAAGAAAAACCTTTAGTATTTAAAACCTCTAAAACTCTTTAGTTTCAAAATAAGATTTTTCTTAGACATATTCACTGACCTGGCTGTCTGTCATTCAGAAAAAAAGGAATTCAGTTTTACAAAATTCAATGAAACTTTTTAAAATAATAATTTAAAAAGGAGATTGATTACAAGGCTTTAAATGTTGTTTTACAATATTCTATATTGATTGAACAATAAAAGACTTAATTGCGTTTTCTATATACTAAGAAAATACTACCTTTACCTTACCTTTTGAGGTCAGACAATTTGTTGAGCTTTGGATTTCACAATAAGAGGATCTTTGATGATGATCTTATCGAAATAAGCGTCAATCGCATATTTTTTTTGTTATCGAGTATTTAGTTTTTCTCGACTGTTAACACAATTGTCCAGTGAATTTTGGCAAACTGAACTTCTTTTTCTCCACCTTATCCCACTAGGTGGGGTCGCCACAGCGAATTTTTCTATTCCATTCTCTTTTATACCAGCCGTCATTTCAACACTCACTCCTCTCTCTCTCTCTCATATCGTCATTCACACACTCCATCCATGTCCTCTTCGGTCGACTTCATCCCCTTCTACCTTGCACCACCATTTCCATAGATCTCCTAGTCACATGCATCTTCTAGTTACACGTCCTTACGTTCCATAAAATCCAATAACCTTTGCATTAGACGCCTTTAGCTTTAACACTAAGAGCAGACTTAGGCACTCCGGTAACCGTACTCGTCGAACTCGACAAAGAGTTCGACGTGCAATCTAACCCATGCATCAGCCCGCTGAGTTTCTCGCCGAATCTTTTCAGCGGGTCGCGATTCCGATCCGGTAGCAGATTCATTCGCGAAGCAGTTGCTCTTGAGCAGCTTACAAGGCACTCGGGCAGTTATTAGCAAATCTCACCCCTTTTGACTGAGCCTTTCCTCGCCCACCTGTCCTGGTGAAACTGGAAAAGTCTCCAGGCCACCAGTAATCATAAAAAAGCATCTACTAGTCACATGCGATCACAAACGATGGTTAAACTGAACGATGGGCCAAAAACTTCCAGGTTCGCCAGCTTATATATCACCTGACGTTCTAATGTGCAAGCCGTATCTGGGCAAACCGTCGGACATGTGGGCACTGGGCGTCGTGCTCTACACTATGTTGTACGGACAGTTTCCTTTCTGCGACACGAGCCTAGCTCAATTATTCAGTAGGATACAGGCCGCCAACTATAATATACCGCCGTGAGTAAATCGTATTGTTGTTATTGCTATAATCGAGAGCTGCCTGAAGGGTTGTCTACCCTCTGAATTTCAGGATTTGCTGTTATATTAGACTAATACTAGTGGTCCCGCAGTAGTCGAAATTCGACTATATACCTAATTGAAATTATAAGTTTAAACATTATTATGGTTCTATTGTCAAACACTATTATACTTTTTTAATTTAATCACAGATTTCGCCAAAACTACACTATAGATAATTAAGGTTAAAGACAAACAATATTAATCTATTCTCAATTTGATCACAGACTTTAAACAATAGCAAAAGTTTGACAATTGACAATAAACAGAGTATATTTATATGTATGTGTTGTGTAGTGAGTGTGTCATTTTTTTTTATTGGTTTAATGTATTTTTATGCATAATAAAAAAAATAGCATTCTGCACTCCTTCTCTATGTTTTTTATAAGTGTAGGAAATTTCATACTCCTCCGTCCGCGCAATTTTCGTAAAAAGGGGTACAAAGTTTTTGCTTCACGTATTAATATATTATTGTTGGAAGAATCAGTATTGCTAAGTAACCCCAAAAATGATAACATTAAAAGTCGTGCTAAAGAAAAATAAATATCGTTTTTCTTTTATCTTCAGGCAATGTAACACAAAAAGAAAACATGACGTGCGAGGTCAACTTTGCTTTCGATTGCGCGTCCGTGATATATAATAGATATGAGCTCCTTTTGTCATATGTTCATTGACTAATTATGTTAAAGTGATTTATTATAGATAGGTAGACAATTAGTATATTAAAGCCATATCAGCTTCTAGGATATTAAGCAACACCCTGTATAGTAGGTTGAGGTTGTCCGGCCATCATCTTGTGTATATTTTAGAAACAGTCGTAGGAAATTTGCGTGGGTTTCACTGGTGTAGAGTCTGTACCGTCTTACCTATTTCCGCCATTGACCTATTGTGCGATACAATCAAAAGGCAGGAAAGCCGATCGAACCGCAAAACACCTACATTCCATAAGAACATTGTCATTATGATTTCAGAAATGGCAATTCGGTACAAGTATCACACAACACTGTATTTTTAATACAGAGGCTCCTAGTGAAAGATCCTAAGCACAGAATGGTTGCAGACGAAGTAAGTAGTATCAATTTTTTTTATTTGTAACAGTGGACTATAGCACAAGAGACCACCGCAGCGTGTAGAGGTCGCAATGTGAGTGACTCTATCCAGCAATTACATCAAACCGAAACCTAAGACTGATTCGTGACCGAATTTTTTTTTTATATTGCTGAGGTGTTTGGACTAGCTCACAGCCCACCTGTTGTTAAGTGGTCACTGGAACTCATAGACATCTACGACGTAAATGCGCCCCCACCTTGAGATATAAGTTGTAAGGTCTCAGTATAGTAGTAGCAGCTAACAGCTGCCCCACCCTTCAAGCCGAAACGCGTTACTGCTTCACGGTAGAAAGAGGCGGGGTGGTGGTACCTACCTGTGCGGACTCACAAGTGGTTCTACTACCAGTAGGGACCGGTCCTAACTAACAGCACCTTTCTTTTAAATTTTGGACAGCTGCGATCTCGTCAAAATGAAATGCTCGTTTATTTCAGGTCCTCGATCAGCTGTCGAGCATCATAGCGAGTTACGTTACGATCTCCAACCCGCCCGAGGATCTGCAAGTGGTGCCGGATATTCCACTAGACGAGGAGACTAAAGAAAAAAGTAGTCAGTCGATCGAACTAGAGAAGAAACCATTCCTGACTGTACCGGAAAAAGGCGGCGAACGGACGCCCACTTCTGGTGTAAGTCATTGGGGACCAGGTTTCGGATCCGAATATCTTATGTTTTTTCATAGCTCTATATCAGCCTTTCTCAAAGTGGGGGATAACGCTCCCTTGTGGGCTTAAAGGGGGCGGTAAGAGACACAGAAAAAAAAGCTTTATCAACTTATGCAATTATAATTAGACAAAAATACTTTAATATTAAAACAATAATACAATAAGACTACGCTATATTTATAAATATTAACAAAAGCAAAACATTAACTGTCCCCTTCACACTCATAAGCTAGACCGCGCGAGAGAGAGATGGGCAGACTTTTTATGATGCGCATGCAGTGCGACGTCACGCCGCGCGCTGGTACACAAAACACTACACAAGCGCAACGTGTGAATGTGTTGAACGCCAGCTACATGGTAGGCGGAGTGAGGGTTGTTAGGTTTTATTTTCGTTACGGAATTTCTTGATTTGGTCGCCGCGCTCAAAGCCCGCGATAATAGCTATGCAATAGCTTAAATAGACACCGACTGAGCTCTCTATATAGTGGTTTTTAAGTAGGTAGCTGAAAAAAATGAGGGCGCTAAAAAATATTTTATTCTAAAATTTGGCAATAGACAAAATAAGTTTGGGAATCCCTGCTCTATATTAACACGTTGACTGCCATATATTTAGGTCATCGGTGCCCTTCGCGTCGTACTAAGGCGCCGGAATGCCTAGTAGACTTTGGGAAAGACGAATCCGAAGATACTGAGAATTTATCTCTTTCTAAGAGACCTTAAAGACTAACAGACAAAAGAAGACAAAGTTTAGCAATCCAGACGCTTAATAACAGAAATCGACATAATTACTTCAGCGCGCCGCGGAGGCCACAGATGACCTACACAGTAGTCAATGTGTTAACGAACTGTTTAATTGATGTTCGGTGGCTACGTTGTCTAATGTCGTTGCCCAGAAATATTACTTTTCTTTTTTATTCACCTTATTCCACTAGGTGGCAGAGCAAATTTTTCTCTTCCATTCTCTTCTATCAGCCGTCATCTCAACACTCACTCCTCTCTCTCTCATATCGTCATTCGCACACTCCATCCATGTCTTCTTCGGTCGACCTCTTCCACTACCATTTCCATACATATCTCTTAATCACATGCATCTCGTCTCTATGCATCATATGACCACGCTAACCGTCCGTCCGTTCTTTAATTTGTTGATTACCGGGGCTGCTTTCACACTTTCTTTGATATACTTATTTCTTGTCCGGAAATATTACTATCATGTACCACGTTGCCACATACCATTCGGCTATGGAATGAGCTCCCCTCCACGGTGTTTCCCAAGCGATATGACATGTCCTTCTTCAAACGAGGCTCGTGGAGAGTATTAAGCGGTAGGCAGCGGCTTGGCTATGCCCCTGGCATTGCTGAAGTCCATGGGCGACGGTAACCACTCATCATCAGGTGGGCCGTATGCTCGTCTGCCTACAAAGGCAATAATTTTTTTTATTAACAATATCTGAAGTCAAATCTGCTTTTCGATAGTTCTATATAAATTTCAAAGATGGCTGATGTCCATGGGCCATTGTGGCATTGTCGCGGCTCATTTACATTAACAATGTATTGCAGGACGAACTCGGCGTGTATTGCGTCCCGCTGCCGGACTTCCTGGCCTTGAATTTCCCGTCGCCGACGCGCGTTCAGCAGAACAGTATCCTCATACATCCCACGGTCGAGGCGCCGCAACAGAGGCAGATAACGGTCCAGAGGATAGGCAGGGACGCCAGGCCGCTCCTGCCCTGCGAGATAGCCCGGTACCAGCACATGTTCGCTCCGAACCAGAGGAGGGAGACCCCCGCCCCGGAGTCCAGGCCGGACAACCCGAGGCCTCCGACGGCGGAAAATTCCAGACTGAGGCACTTAGCTCAGCGGATCCCCCGGCTCAACGCGGCCTCGCACTCCGCCGACCTCCGGGTCGTGCCGTGGTCCGACGCTTCGAGAAACAGGAGCTGGGATCCGGATTACTTCCCGCGCTCGCACGTTCCAGAACATTCTAGAGTCCAAGCGAACGAAACCGGTAGCGTCTCTAGACAAGAAGATGAATATTAATTTGAGCGTTGCGTATTTCCGTGTCGTTTTGCTGCCAGATTAGATTTTTTTTTTATGATGACCTCTTTTTGGCGGGAACGCGAGGAGTGAAGTTGTGTGATTTGTTTTATTTTGTCTATTTAGTGTTTCTTCAGGTTTAAATGTGTAATAACGGTGGTTTATTAACTGTTTAATATCTGTGAAAGTGCACAAATGTGGGAAAATGAAACAAAGCCGCTGGACGTAACTTCTCTAGATCCTCGAAAAAGTCCACTGAAAAAGTCTCAGTGAATGACCACTATTTTACTGAGATTATATTATATTTAATGATGATGATTTTTGTATTTCAAGTGTTTGATGCGAGTCTTGTATATTGTGAACTTAACACAGGGCTATAATTTTTTTTATTGCCCTTTTAGGCAGCGGCATACGGCCCACCTAATGGTGAGTGGTTACCGTCGCCCATGGACTTCAGCAATGCCAGGGGCAGAGCCAAGCCGCTGCCTACCGAAATGATATGTAAATTATAATTGTTACGTTTTTTATTATTTTTAAATCATACGTGCTGTAAGGGAACCATGTCGACTGGTGGCAGGGCTTGTTGTGAGTCGGCACGGATAGGTACCACCACCCTGCCCATATCTGGCAGGAAGCATGAGTTTCGGCTTGAAGAATGGTACAGGATAGACGACCACTCCGGTCGTCTATCCATCTATACAATAATAATAATAAAAGTCCAAACTGCCGTAAATTATTTTACCCTTTAAACGGGATTAATATATATATAAAAAAAACCAGAAAGTCCTACCATTTATCAACCTTAAGATTTTCTCCTGCATTTTTGGTATCGCTTAGATAGAATAGAGTATTACTGCGAATTGGATTGTGAGATCATTAACCCGAATAAGCAATCGAATATTATAGATACTAATATTATAAACTTGAATATTTGTATTAAATCACGCAAAATTTGCTGATAGGACCAGAATGAGCTTTTGTATAATAATAAAATAGTATAAATATATCGACGGGAAAAAGCGGTAATGTCGTGTAACTTGCATTATGGCTAAATCACTTTTTACCATAATATGATATATGAATTTTTGTAATAGTTTTGTGACTTTGGTGTAAAGTTGGGTTTTTCAAGTGACGACAATTTCGCTTTTTTTCGTCGATATAATCTCCAGGGATGGTAGACTTAATTAAAATTACTGTTACGTTTTAATCTCGATTTTTTTGTTTTTTTTTTGTTATAATATTATATCCGAAAAATTCTAATACAGTTTTCGTGGTCGGTTAATGTTAAATGAATTACAGAAGCAAATAATTTAATGACAGTAAAAAAGGCGGGATGTCATTTTGATTTTTTTATTTAGTGTTGAATCGAACACTGGCATAGGTTCCCTTACAGCCGATAGATATTTAACGTAAACTTCGTTCTCGAGTACTTACTGTTAGCAAACCTACCAGTGTAATAACCAGTCGTCGGAGTAGGTAGATTGATTTTATATACTTGCGTCAAGATATTATAATATGGACATGCCATTTTATCCATAATAATTTTTTTTTAAATTGAAAAAAACAAAAATTTAATTCTCATCGGATACAATTTCTATATTTATGAGATAAAGTTACAAAAATCCATGTCTAAGTTTTGTCTCATACTGACAAGCGTCATTTCTAATTCAACAGAAAGGGACAAAATACTATGTAGTATATAACTATTCCAAGGCGTTTTTGTATAAAATAAAATACTGATTTCTTTCACCATTAGATAGCACTGGTAGCGTAGATTAATATTATTGATACGTTTTTCACCTTAAACACAGATTCATGCTAATTTCAAAATTCCGGAACAAATATCACAATAAATATGAAGTTCCGGTATTTTGGAGGCATATCCATATTATCCTCTACGTTTGACGTCAACGACCTTAAATCAATCTACCTACTCCGACCTTTAGTAATAACACAGTTGGGTATTCTTGGCGGTCGACTTAGTTCTTTTCAGCCGGCTTAGATAAATATAATAATATATTTTATTATATAGAACAGTGATCACTTAGAAATAAGTATAAATATAATCAAATTGGTTTTTGTTTCGTAAATTTCGGGACTAACGAAATATTTGTTAAATACTGAACTGCCATTAATGAATTGAATGTATATTTATATTGTTTAATAATAAACTGGCTGGTTTTGTATCTGTTTAATACTAGATAGTGCTAATATTTTTGTACTATATATTTTTGTTCCATATATACTTATGTAGTCACTATCGAACTTAAGGCCAATTGTAATTATTATTTGAATAATTTTAGATAAAATAATAAATGTTAATTCGTGAACAATTAGTGTTATACGTTATGTTTAAATGTATAAAGCCTATGAAGAAATGTGATGGTGTCATCGTCTCCCGTAATGCGGAGAAAGTTCTAGATAATTTTACTAAGGTTAACAAATACGCTCACAGTTTAGCTGATGTGACATGAGGTATAATCTTGAATAAATAGAAATAATCCTCCAAATCGGCTCTCGTAACTGGTTCGCGGCGAACATGCAGATCCGATGTCGAGTAGCGATGTATACTGGAGTATAACTTAGAAGCAAAGCAAAAAAAAGTCAGTGTGCTTAGTGCGAAGTTTCTAACGTTCTCGATAGCGTAAAAGTTAGCTCATATTTTTTTTTTTTTATTGCTTAGATGGGTAGACGAGCTCACAGCCCACCTGGTGTTAAGTGGTTACTGGAGCTCATAGACATCTACAACGTAAACGCGCCACCCACCTCGAGATATAAGTTCTAAGGTCTCAGTATAGTTACAACGGCTACCCCACCCTTCGAACCGAAACGCATTACTGCTTCACGGCGGAAATAGGCGGGGTGGTGGTACCTACCCGTGCGGACTCCCAAGAGGTCCTACCACCAGTGATTACGCAAATTATAATTTTGCGGGTTTGATTTTTAATACACGATGTTATTCCTTCACCGTGGAAGTCAATCGTGAACATTTGTTGAGTACGTATTTCATTAGAAAAATTGGTACCCGCCTGCGGGATTCGAACACCGGTGCATCGCTACATACGAATGCACCGGACGTCTTATTCTTTAGGCCACGACGACTACAAAGGCGACGATCCCATTCATATTTGTATGGAATGGGATCGTCGCCTACGTTTGACGTTAAGGGCGCTGTTCCAACTACATACAAAATTGGGTTAACTTTTACGTTATCGAGAACGTTCAAAAACGTGCACTAAGCACACTGTACTGGGTTAATTAAATGGGAAAACCAAGGAGGTTTTACCCTTTTTTTGCAAAGTACAATGATACACTGTCTTAAGATGACAACCAATTTTATTATACCACTCTATACAATGAGTACACAAAGTGTAGATGCGATATTTAATATTATAATATTTGGTACAGAAATATATTTGGGCAAAGATTAAACATTTGAGATTTATGTGCCTACGCCATCGACTATACAAGTAAGTATACATTGCGTGGACAATAAAATCGTCTGTAATAAATATAGTTAGAAACAAAGCTATCTAACGTGAAATCTAGCAAGTGATAAGATTTTAAATAATCAGTTATGTATATTATTAGAGGGATTCGAAATTGGAGATTGAGATACGCTGCCAAATTTGACAATAATTTTCTGAATAAAGCTTTTTTTAAATAACAATGTACGTAACAGACATTTCAGAATCAATTGAAATGGATTGGCATATGTACTTGAGACATCTTTGCTTAGATAGAAGTTAATGACATTTGGTTGAGGTTATCATAATGACAGTTTGGTATACAAAGATTGACATGTGTGAGTTGCTAATTGAGGTTTACTGGCCATGGAGGGTAGAGGTCAGAAACACAGTCTCTGTGTATGTCAAGGTGCCCAATTAGGGCAGCACCATTGTAGCAAGTGATGTAAATTCAAAGATAGCGCCCAAAACTATCATATTAAAATTTTCAACTGGTCACACTTTATTTACGACTGCTGCAATCATATCTTCCACTTGCTACGCTAGCTCTATTTTTGTGGGTTTTGACTTATTAATACTGGCCTTTTTGGCGGGAACACGAGGAGTGAAGTTGTGTGATTTGTTTTATTTTGTCTATTTAGTGTTTCTTCAGGTTTAAATGTGTAATAACGGTGGTTTATTAACTGTTTAATATCTGTGAAAGTGCACAAATGTGGGAAAATGAAACAAAGCCCCTGGACGTAACTTCTCGGGATCCTCCAAAAAGTTCACTGAAAAAATCTCAGTAAATGACCACTATTTTACTGATATTATTTTTCATCCAATATCATCTCTTTTCATTTAGTTTCATCCCAGTTGATTAATGTCTTAAATTAATCATCTTCATTTCATTTCATTTCACTCCATATTATCATTGTTCATAAAAATAAGAACAAAATTAAAATAAGACATGACTTAAAGGTCTTAGTTACCAGGTCATAAAATTCCTTAAAAAAACTTATAATACTTGTCCCCCATACAAAACAATTCTCCTTACCTCTACCCTCAATAATATAAGCTTGGATGTTAAATGTCATTGGTTGCTATCAATGTATGAGATAGTGGAATAATAACTAGATAGATAAAGTAGAAATATAGTTAGTAGAAAATATAGTTTTCGTTTAAACATTAAAGTGAAATTTCGTTTATTTGAGGATTCTTAGCGTATAAGTTATTTTTTACGAACGTTTGTTTGATAATCCAGTCAAGGGCGGATCCAGCTTTGTCGCCAGGAGGGAGTCACATAGTCAAATTTAGATGCGTTTGTTCCCAAACGTTTGCCATTATACAAAGTTATAATATTATATTAAATTAATTAAGTATTGAAGGTATGTAGTTTACATAAAATCTGTATGGTGACAAAATATATAAATAAAATCATTATATTCAATTAGTTGTCCACCTAAGTCCTGGACCCAGCTCAGGGGTCATGACCCCCACGACCCTCCCCCTGGATCCGCCATTGAATCCAGTAAGACTATCTGTTCGTATTTGAGACATTTAAATAGCGATGTAATGCAATATTTGCCAAATAAATACTTTTTTCACTGCAAGGTAATAGGCTTGATGTACTTGTAAATACATATAAAGTAAAAATGTGATTTTTAAATAGTATGATTA